TGGCTAACGCTAATGCTAACATGAGCTTTTAGCCATGTTCTGCCCATAGACTGTAAATATTAACGCACGTAGTCACGCCTATCTGCGCCGTAAACTAATGGGCCAAAAATTGTGCTCATTGTGTAGTTTGTGTAGTTTGGAGCTATCCAAAATGGCAGCGAGTGGTCCCGCCCACAAGAAAATTGTGAAAAAACCATGGATCTATTATATTAACTGGATAGGGTATTACTAGCTTGTAGCTGAATAACCCATGTGCTCGGGGATTCTCTCGGTACTGCAGACTGAACCAGACTAAATTCACGTGGGCTATTCAGAAATGTTCCCCATAGAACTCAATGCAAATTAAAACAGCTCAACCTCAGCTGACAGAGAACCTACAGCTTTAATAAAGATCGGATTTTGTGGGGATGTTAGTGTCCCTTGTCATCCTGAACTTTTTTTCTTCTTAAATCCTTCGGTTTTCTTTAAATCCACACTTTAGTGCCACAAACTCTGCTCGTCTGGCTCTGGCTCTAACTCCCGCTCTGATGAACTGCTCTGATTGGTCAGAGCGCGGCCGAGCCCCTCTGTGCACGTGCGTGAGACCCGGTGTGAGACCCACACACGCGTGTTTGGCGCAATGCATTATGGGAGATCATCCACTGCACAGAACCGGGAGGACCAGACGATGCCCAAATACAGGCGAGTTTCCCAAAGATCTTTGACAGTTCCAGGCAGGTTCCGCTAATATGTCAGCATCCGTGCCGGCACAATGCGCCACTGAGCACAAACCCTTCATTCAAATACGGCGCCATCTTGGATCGACGGGGCTTGGAAAAAATGCATCTGTGCATGCGTCAGCTGCACGAGGCCCATTCATTTAAACAAGTGACTTCTAAAGTCCACAGCGACTAAACTAGACTGGTCCAAAACACTCCCTCAGCATTGACACACATGTGGAACTGAGCTTTGGGCCAAGAGACAACTTTTGGACCATCCTGTAAAGACGTTTTCCAGAGGTCAGAAGATGCTATATGTTAGCATTGGCAAATATTTATTCCGGGTCCTCCCCCATCGGCCCGGGGTGGTATTGCAGCATGTCAGCGCGCCTCATTTTGGCCACTTTTGAGCCGGGACCTGCTCCCACTGGTTCTGTCATGGCTGTGTATATAAGTGTATATCATTGTGGTTTTAAGCTCCCGCAGACTTTATTCCTCCTGCGTCTCTTCTCTTCACACCGCATTTGTAAAACTATATATTCAGATTCAGATTCAGATTCATTTATTGCCATTTGCAGTAACACTACATTGGAATATAATATATTATAACAGATCCATGGTAAAACTCAGTAGAGCCTCTGTGCAGGGTGCCGTCTGAACAGGTCTTGTTTACAAGTCGCCTCCACGCGACTGTGACAAGTGTCCGACATGGATCTATAATAGTGCCCGAGACCTTTGGAGAGATCCAGTCATTTATCAAACTAAAGGATTCTTTCCTTGTTATGCTGGTGAATGACTGAGAGTTGAGGAGCACTGTCAAAGAGACATATTTTCTATCAAATGTTTTCGTAGTACACAGTACTGCGATATAAGATCTCAACGCTAGATGGCAGTAAAGATTACACATAGCGAACCTTTACGATTACCCAGCCCTCAGATAAAGACGACAAAGGGGTAGGCAGATGACTCAGTGCTAACACTGCCAATGTTTTGTTAATTCTTTTGAAAGTTATAAAGTATTGCCTTATTAAAATTCTTCAGCTGGAGAGAAACATGTTAACAAGGTAATACATGTTGTCTTTCCAAAGAACCAAATTAATAATTCAAAATGACTAAAAAACACATACCTGCTTCCATTTGCTCTGTGTCCATCTACAGATGCATCTGCAGAAACATATGTAAGATACATGAATACAAGCTCACTATGAATACCATGCTCACCAGGTTAAATCCTCCAGCTCTGGTCCTGACCAAGAGCATTAACATCTGGAGATGGTTCCCGGGCGCTGTTACTACGGCAACCAATGCTCCTGACGTGAGCCTTAGGGCATCAGGGTCAAATGCAGAGGATTGAATTGTTCTACGGGGATAAATAAAGTGCACCTTTACCTTTACAATTGTTATACAAGTTGGACTTGTTTTGCTGGAGAACAAAGGTCAGTATCTGAGGCTAAAAATACAGGATATTTCAATCTGGAGAGACAAGACGAGACAAGATGTGATTTATTGATTGCAAGTTTTGTTTGTAGTTTATTAGTTTGGTGCACAGGCTCCGGCTGTGGCCTTGCTCTGTGAGGGCAGAACATGATCCCCAAAGAGAGCTTGGCAAGCTCTGCCCGGCTCTAGTGCTGAGGCGTGGGCTCACGCACAAGCTTGCTCGAGTGGGACAGGCCGTGATAGACGGCCTTGAGGACTGTAAGGCATGAACAAGGCAGAGTTGCCACCACCAGGAGATGTAAGCATACCCAGGACCACAGGGAGCGCTGGGCTGATAAGATAGATGCGGAGTCTGGTCTGATCTTAATTCATTTTCGTCATTAATCGTCACAACCACGTTGTCATTCCGATCTCGTCTTCATTCCAATCACATCTTTGCGTCAATCAATCTTTCCATTATGTCTTAATTTCAATTATTATTAGCATTATTATTACATATTGTTTTTCTTTAGTTTTTTATTTTTTATTTTAATTTTATTGTATTAGTAGTTTGTGTAAGCTCTCAGTCGTACAGGGATTAGTCAAAGCAAAGGAAGGTTTCTCACCCATCATCTGTACTTCTTAGCAAGTTTTCCCGACGTTTCGTCCTCAACCTAGCGGACTTCTTCAGGGAATGAATTCTCAGACCGCGCTTTGGAGAGTTATGACCTAATCCTGATACTAACTCATAAACAATCTAAGGTCTGATGTAGAAGGGAGCAGATCTAACGACCCTGCTGAGGCTAACGACCCTAACTCATTAGCATGTCACAGACCTTGTCCCAAGTTAGGGCGTTGTTTTTAGGATGTCGTCATAGATGCGAGGCAAAACAAATCTTAACCCTCCTCCTCTGTTAAGAGAAGGTTTTTGTTTCCTCACAAAAATGGCTTCTTGGCGCAGTCCGAGAATTCATTCCCTGAAGAAGTCCGTTAGTTTGAGGACGAAACGTCGGGAAAACTTGCTAAGAAGTACAGATGATGGGTGAGAAACCTTCCTTTGCTTTGTATTAGTAGTATTTTATTTTATTTATTTTTGTCGATGAATCGTTGAGAGCACGTGAATGCGTCAATCACTTAAGCCAGTCCGCTCCATGGATCTATAAGAGCTCCTGGAATGCACACTTGAAGCAGCTACGAAGAAGTCTGTGGCGAAGTAGAGTAGACCGAGAAGCGGCGTGGATGAAGAGAGTACCGCCTGAAAGCCAATGCACTGGGTAAAAACGTACAACCTGAAAGCCAATTCGACGTAATCAAACCATGGATCTAGTATAATATCAGGATAGGGTATTACTAGCTTGGAGCTGAAGGACCCATGTTCTCGGGGGATTCTCGCAGACTAAACAAGATTAAATTAATGTGGACTACCCATAAATCTACCCATAAATCTCAATGTAAACTAAAACAGCTCGACCTCAGCTGACAGAGAACCTGACAGAGAACCTACAGCTGCAAAGGAGTCTGCTTTCAGGGAGGGGGACCGCAGCGGCTACAAAGCAGCTAAATATCAGTTCAGGAAAGAACTGAAAGCAGCCAAGTCCCGGCACAGAGAACGACTACAGGAGCAGTTTGGTAACAACGATACTGCTTCTGTCTGGAGGGGCCTACGGGAGATCAACTACAAACCCAAAGCCCCCCCTGTGCTGACGACCACAAGCTAGCTGACAAACTGAACTTATTTTTCAGTCGCTTTGATGCTGCCCCTGACACCTCTCCCTCCCCCACCCCCCACTACTCTAACGACCCACCCATCAGCCCTGCCCCCAGCCTAACAATAGCCGCTAAAGAGATTAAACAACTCTTCCTGAGGCTGCACCCCCGCAAAGCTCCTGGCCCGGACCACGTGTCTCCGGCCACTCTGAGACACTGCGCCAGTGAGCTTACTCCTGTGTTCACGGACATTTTCAACTCCTCTCTGCAGTCCTGCCATGTCCCGGCCTGCTTCAAATCCTCCATCATTGTCCCCGTCCCGAAGAAGCCCAGGATCACAGGACTCAATGACTACAGACCTGTAGCACTTACGTCTGTCGTCATGAAGTCATTTGAACGCCTGGTTCTCTCCCATCTCAAGTCCCTCACCTCCCCCCTCCTGGACCCCCTGCAGTTCGCCTACAGAGCCAACAGATCTGTAGACGACGCCATTAACCTGGCCCTCCACCACATCCTACAGCACCTGGACTCCCCGGGGACCTACGCCAGGGTCCTGTTCGTGGACTTCAGCTCTGCCTTCAACACAATCCTGCCATCCCTGCTCCAGGACAAGCTCTCCCAGCTCAACGTGCCCGATTCCACCTGCAGGTGGATCATTGACTTCCTGACGGACAGGAAGCAGCGAGTGCGTCTGGGGAAGAATGTCTCGGACTCTCGGATTATAAATACAGGAGCCCCACAGGGCTGTGTTCTTTCTCCCCTGCTCTTCTCCCTGTACACCAACCACTGCACCTCCAGCCACGACTCCGTGAAGCTGATCAAGTTCGCGGACGACACCACCCTCATTGGACTCATCTCCAACAACGATGAGTCCGCCTACAGGAGGGAGGTGGACCGGCTGGTGTCCTGGTGCAGTGGTAACAACCTGGAGCTGAACGCCCAGAAGACAGTGGAGATGATTGTGGACTTCAGGAAGAGCACTGTCCCCCCGCCCCCACCCTCCGTGATGGACTCCCCCATCACCTCTGTGGAGTCCTTCCGTTTCCTGGGCACCACCATCACCCAGGACCTCAAGTGGGAGCCGACCATCAGCTCCCTCATCAAGAAGGCCCAGCAGAGGATGTACTTCCTGTGGCAGCTCAGGAAAGCCAAGCTGCCTGCACAGATGTTGGTGCAGTTCTACACGGCCATCATCGAGTCCATCCTCACCTCCTCCATCACCGTGTGGTTCGCTGGAGCCACAGTCAGGGACAAACAGAGACTACAGCGCATTGTGCGCTCTGCAGAGGAAGTGATCGGCCGCAGCCTTCCATCGCTGCAGGACCTGTACGTCGCCCGAGCTCGAGGCCGGGCTGGTCGTATCACAGCCGACCCCTCTCACCCTGCACATGGACTATTCCAACCACTCCCCTCAGGCAGGAGGCTGCGGTCCATCAGGACTAGAACCTCCCGCCACAAGAACAGTTTCTTCCCCTCTGCTGTTGGACTCTTGAACACTTCTTAACCTGTCCCCCCGCCCTTTATAAAGTCACTTTACTGCCCATCATACGTCACTTTACTTCACTGTACTGCTGTCACCTTACATTGTGTGCACCATGTGCACTTGTATATTGTAAATAGTAACTGTAACTCTATTTTAAATTTAAATTTATTCTTTAGAAGTGTTTTTTATTCTTATTTTTATTATCTCTTTTTGACTGTTGCACTGAGCCAAAGCAATTTCCAAGTCTGTGACCTCCCGTTACTTACGTTGGCAATAAAAATGATTCTGATTCTGATTCTGATTACAAAGGTTGGATTTTGTCCCTTCTTATCCTGAACTTTTTTTCTAACCCTAACCCTCTGCTCGTTTGGCTCCCGCTCTAACTCCGCTCTGATCAGCTCTGATTGGTCTGAGCCCCTCTGTGCACGTGCATGACAGCCACACACGCGTATTTTGGCGAAACGCATCATGGGAGCTCGTCCACTGCACAGAACCGGGAGGACCAGACGAGGTCCAAATATGGGCGAGTTCCGCTAATCTTTCGGTCCCCATGGTGGCACATGCGCCACTGAGCACAGGCCATTGATTTGAATAGGTCGCCATCTTGGATCACCGGGGCTTAAATTAACTGCCAAGCCACAGGTCAGTACAGTCTATGGTAGTACGAGGAAAACAAACGGGAATGACAGAAGCCTCACGCACGGGATGGAAGCGGCAGGGAATGCGGAGGCAAGCTGTGTTCAGCTCGGATCATGTGTTGCGGCGAGTTGCAAAGTCAATGGTGACGGCCGTCCATGCTAGGTAGAGCATTGGTCTTTGGGCCTCAAGGTCGTGGGTTCGAGCCCACCACAAGATCTACTTCACGACTCCCACTGATGACTGCTGTTGTTGTGTCCTTGGGCAAGACACCTAACCCCACTTTGCCAGAAGCTCCCGGTGAAAGATCTCAGCTCCTGTGGACTCAGCACCTGCAGGAGGATCAGTGAGGGGCTGGTGCTGAGTGTACTGGGTGCAGCTCTGACTGCCACCCCCCGACCCAGAAATGGATTAAGGGGAAGAAAATGGATGGATGGAATGTCTTCCTAACAATTGAGGTCAGATTATGAGTCTGATCCATCGGGCTGTTATTAGGGGGAATGTTCCAAACAAACCAGGAAAACAAATGTCTCTTTGCTCTATAGGATAGTCCAACAACCAACCAGAGCAATATGATAAACACAGATGCATCCCTACACTCCTCATTTCAGTGTAATTTACCTATGATTAAACCACCAAGCATATTAAAAGATATGGTAGCCAGGAGTGAATACTGGAAGCCAGCCAGAATCTAAGCCATGCTATACGTGTAGTGTTCCTACTAAGCTGCGCATGTCCGCAATTGTGCATTGCTAATGGGGTCTCGGCGCACAGAATAAAAATCCAGCCTGATAAAATTGTATTTATGGCCAATCAATGTGATTGACAGCGTCCCGTGGCAGAAACTGAAAAAAGTACCAGGAACAAATAAAGTATCAGGAGGATCACTTGCTATCAAGAGGATAATAGGGCGTGATGGTGGCTGACCTGCGTCCCTCTGCAGAGCCGCCTGCCTCAGGGCCGCCTGCCTCAGAGCCGCCTGCCTCAGAGCCTGGGCCATCACACTGAGCAGCTGCTGGCGCTCCTTAAACACGGCTCTCTCATGGACGCTCAGCTTGTGGAGGGGTGTGGTGGCCAAGTGCACATCCTGAAACAAACACCTCACTTTTGCTTCTTCATAAATGATCATGTTGCACACTAATTTGATGTTTTGGGCAGAGAGCTGATTATTCCTCCAGTCATTACCTGATTGAAGGAGTAGTGGGCATAATCCACAGCAGTCCCCTCAACACCATCCACAAGAACTGGCCTCAAAATGTCCGCTCCCGCCTCCAACAACAAGTGGAACTGCAACAACACTATGTGTGAACACGAGTCGTCTCAAAGCACAGCTGCAGCTTCATGTGCAGAGGGGAGCTTGGATCAAATGTTCTTCATGTGGAAAGTGAAGTAAACACCATTCTTCTCATAACAACAAGGTCAGGTCAGCTGATAGCAAGTGTGTCTGAGCTCCTCACCCAAACACCTCTGCAGGAGAAACATATCCTAGCCCTGGGCAATTGCAATATTTATTCAGATTGCAAGCTTTTGGACTAAGCTCTTTCTTCCCCCCAACAGCAAACGTTGTTGGGGATCATTGCTTTCTGATACCTACGTTGTGAATGTCTCATTTGTAACTCCATGCCTGTTGAATGATGCCAGATCATTCAATTCCCTTAGAGCAGGGGTCTCCAACCTGTGGCTCGGGAGCTACCAGTAGCTCACCAAAGGATTTAGAATTTAACAAATGATCTTGAATGAATACATTCTGAGTCTATACAGTATCATGGTATGTGTTCTCCATGTTTTGCCGTAATTATTAGATAGATTTGTATTACAACTGCAAAAAGGAGTAGCTCTCTGCCTCTTATTTTGTATAAAAGTGGCTCTCCGATTGAAAAAGGTTGGAGACCCCTGCCTTAGAGTTTCCAGTTCACAGTAATAGAACATTTGATCTTTCTGTACCAGTTTGGGCCTGTTCACACATGCCCGGTAGTAGTTGTTGGCAAGGGCACAAAGAGCACTGCCCACTCCGTTTCCCAGAGGCAAATTGGGATCCACACCGTGTTTGAGCAGCTCCACCACAGCCTGGAAGTACGGACCATGTGTGATTACATTCATAAAAGATATGTTTGCATGTTATTTAAAAATGCTTTTTTCACAGCTGTTCACCATGGTATAGTTGTTTTTCCTTTGTGATTGGCAGAGCAAAAACAACTGTTTTCGAAAAACCATTTCTGACCAGCCCCACTGTTTTTTCTTGATTGTTTTATGTGCTCATGTATGTACGTTTGGACATGCGAGGTAGCCGAGAAAAAGAAAAAAAAACAATGGTGGCAGATCACTTAATGCTACATGTGCGTCGAGCGCTACACAGAGGACCACTGCAGAATGATGTTGGTACTGAGTGGAGCCTGTGGGGCCTTTGATGTGGTCGGAGGAGCAATGGAGAATCTACATGACAAAAATACACACAACATTTCTTTCCTATATTGAACAATCTGAATTTCGTGTTGTAAGGGAAAACTACTAGTACATGGTGACATTTGTGTTATTATAGTTACTATTGTTGTTATGACTATTTGTTCAAAAGTGTTCAGCCCTAAATACTCCAGTAGATGAAACAAGAGTTGACCATTTGGTTTCCACTTGCGATGGCCAGGGAGAGGGGCGAGTGTCCACTCCACAGCAGGTCTGTCCGGGCCCCATGCGACAGCAGAAGAGACACTATCCTGCTGGCGTTCTGCAGAGAACCAGAAGATTATCAACAGATTGATTTAACAGGCATTCTCACATGTACAGTATTTGGCCCCCTTGAACCTTTCAACATTTCGCCACATTTCAGGCTTCAAACATAAAGATATAAAATTTTAATTTTTTGTCATGAATCAACAACAAGTGGGACACAATCGTGAAGTGGAACAAAATTTATTGGATCATTTTAACTTTTTTAACAAATAAATAACTGAAAAGTGGGGCGTGCAATATTATTTGGCCCCTTTACTTTCAGTGCAGCAAACTCACTCCAAAAGTTCAGTGAGGATCTTTGAATGATCCAATGTTGTCCTAAATGACTGATGATGATAAATAGAATGCACCTGTGTGTAATCAAGTCTCCGTATAAATGCACCTGCTCTTTGATAGTCTCAGGGTTCTGTTTAAAGCGCAGAGAGAACCATGAAGACAAAGGAACACACCAGGCAGGTCCGAGATACTGTTGTGGAGAAGTTTAAAGCCGGATTTGGATACAAAAAGATTTCCCAAGCTTTAAACATCTCAAGGAGCACTGTGCAAGCAATTATATTGAAATGGAAGGAGTATCAGACCACTGCAAATCTACCAAGACCCGGCCGTCCCTCCAAACTTTCATCTCAAACAAGGAGAAGACTGATCAGAGATGCAGCCAAGAGGCCCATGATCACTCTGGATGAACTGCAGATAACTACAGCTGAGGTGGGGATGGTGTGTTCAGGGTGATGAGCTGTGTTGCTTTTACGCCAAACATATCGTTTTGCATTGTGGCCAAAAAGTTCCATTTTGGTTTCATCTGACCAGAGCACCTTCTTCCACATGTTTGGTGTGTCTCCCAGGTGGCTTGTGGCAAACTTTAAAATACTTTTTATGGATATCTTTGAGAAATGGCTTTCTTCTTGCCACTCTTCCATAAAGGCCAGATTTGTGCAGTGCACGACTGATTGTTGTCCTATGGACAGACTCTCCCACCTCAGCTGTCTTTATGTTTGAAGCCTGAAAGGTGGCGAAATGTTGAAAGGTTCAAGGGGGCCGAATACTTTCGCAAGGCACTGTATGTGATTCAAGCCTTAAAAGTGCCATATTATGCATTTTGACTGTTCTCTGGTTTAAACATTTGGCTATTTGGCCTTCATATACATGCTGATTCCCTCAAGCTTTAGTTAGAGAGCAAACCCTAACCCTTTCATTCTCGAGACGCACAGAAACGGCTTGTTTCAAATCTTGACGTGCACTAATCAATAGATTATGGAATGAGAATGAAAAAACCTATTTCCGCTCAATTTTAGTGGTTGTGTGAAACCATTTCTTGTCTATTATTAAATGTGTTTATCATGTTCAAATGATAATGATGTTAGAAACTCTTCTGACCGTGATCTTCACTCTACATCCCCCAGTTCAGACTGGAAGACTAGCCTCAGTTATTGGCTCATGGTCTCAGCCAGTTCTCCTCCTACAGCCCACCCAGGTCCTTTGCCAGCTCAGTCCACCCTAGTGTAGGTTTCATCTTCCTGTTTTTTTACAATGAGAATCTTATGTTTTCAATAAAAAAACTACGGTGGTCACAGATTGAGAATGCTTAAAGTGGGTTGGACCTGGAAGTCGGTCTCTCTGCGACAGGCCACATGCAGCGCGGTCGAGCCTCCCTGTCGCTCCAATGTGTCTCCTGGTGCTCTGACTGGGTCACTTTTCACCTTTCAAACACAAAAATCCGGCGTTACTTGTGCTTTTGAGCGCGGCCCAGGCCATCCATATGTGCACCTGGTCTGGCTTGAAGCACTCGGTCTGGTCACACGCTCTTGCATCTGGGTCTGTGATGGCATGAAGCAGAAGCTGGGTGATCTCAGGACCTGCAGACCCCGGCAGAGCAGCAGCGACGTGCACTGGATACAAGCCCTTGTGCTAGTAAACATGTAATCATGAAAGACAAGACATATAGTAAAACATGCTGAGGTTACATAACATTACTTTTTTCAATAAACATACATGTTATTTGTGCCAACAGAAATAATGATGTAAACGTTAAATGCTAAAAACACAGAAGTTGTGACAGAGGCCAATAATACATGCATGTGAAAAATAATGCATACATTATTTATTTCTGAAGTGAATTGTTATAGTTCATGCTTCAGTCAACAACATATTTCATTTGATAACGATGAAGATTATCTTAATCATACTGTAAGTCCATTCCCTATGAGTGGGTGCTCCCTGTACAGATTCAGATTCAGATTCAGTTTATTTGCCATTTGCAGTAAAAACACCACATAGGAATACATTAGCAAAAGTCTCCAGTGTGCACAGACAAATACAGACATAAAACAACATTAAAAGACAGAAATAAAACAAATAAAACAGTAAACAAATGTCACTGTGAAATCGATCGACTAAAACAGTTTCAAAACAAGTGCAAATCATTAAAGTGCTCTGTTCACACTGATAACAGCCTGTGGATAAAAACTGTTAGCGTAACGAGATGTCCTGCATCTCAGAGAGCGATATCTTCTGCCAGAGGGAAGAAGCTGGAAACATGGCTTTCCCAGGGTGGCCAGAAGAGTCATTAACAATCCTAAGAGCTTTGTTTAAAAGTCTGGATTTATAAAGAACCTCCAGAACAGGAAGCTCACAGCCCACGGTCCTCTTTGCAGAGCGGAGCACCTTGTTTTAAAGCTCTCTTTTCTTTATCTGTGATGTTTCCAAACCACACAGACACAGAACCAACAAGTAAACTCTCAATGGTGCAGCCATAAAAGTTAAGCAGAATCTTAGAGTTAGTGGTAAATTCTCTAAGTTTACGCAGAAAGTAGAGACGCTGACGAGCTTTCTTAACGACTCGGTCAGTGTTTTTAACCCATTTCAGGTTAGACAGAGTTAAACCCAGAAACTTGCTCCTCTACGATCTGCACCTGGGAGTTGTCGATTACGACAGGCAAATGAGAACTATTGCGACTGAAGTCGTGACCAGTTCACATGTTTTGGATGCGTTCAACTGGAGGTTGTTAGTTTGACTCCACTGAACCACATTTTGGATCTCTGCTCTATAAGAGGATTCATCAGTGTCACTGATGAGACCGATGATGGTGGTGTCATCAGCATATTTGATGATCAAGTTAGAGTCAGAGGAGGACACACAATCGTGAGTGTACAAAGTAAAGAGCATCCAGTCCTAGAAAAGGTTATAGAAAAAAACAAAAGCATCATTCTTGAGTTTGTAGAAAGTAGAATGTGTGATGTCCAGTGTTTGGATTAACAGCGTATAAGTATAGCAGCGTAATTGTTTTGAGGCCCCTGGACTCTGTGGAGGAGGTGAGGGACAGGAGGCCCCTGGACTCTGTGGAGGAGGTGAGGGACAGGAGGCCCCTGGACTCTGTGGAGGAGGTGAGGGACAGGAGGCCCCTGGACTCTGTGGAGGAGGTGAGGGACAGGAGGCCCCTGGACTCTGTGGAGGAGGTGAGGGACAGGAGGCCCCTGGACTCTGTGGAGGAGGTGAGGGACAGGAGGCCTAAATAGAAATAGTATGGCACCACTTCAAACTTACTGAGACACGGCTGTTCATCTAAACTAACAAATCAAACAAGGAGAGCATCGGTCAGAAAGGCAACCAAGTGCCCCAAGATGACTCTGGAAGAGCCGCAAAGTACTGCTGCTGAGCTGGGGGGATCTGTGGGACTGCCAGTCATACTCTACACAAGGCTTCATAGACGAGTGGAAGAAGGAATACAGCGATTGCTGTTGACACTTCCTTTATCAACGTTGAAAAATGAAATAAGAAAGAACCTCAAACCACAATTTCTGTCTGAACTTGGTAATACAAAACAGAAGTCCACTGGTGATGTCCTTGAACAGCAGCTTAGAAGAGAAAAACATACTTGAGTTGGCAGTGGGATGTCCGTGCGAGCTCCAGACAGCAGTAGTCTCCTCACAGCCTCCACATCAGAGGCCATCACAGCCATCAGCAGCACGGGCATGGGAACCTGGCAGGCGTTTGGGTTGGCCCCACGTTCCAGTAGCAGCATCAGGGTACCCAGGTAATCACGGTGCCTGGTAAGATGAAGAGAAGAGCCTCCCATTGGGTAAACTGAAACCCAGAGGAAACCCACCCAGACCCAGGGAGAACGTCCAAACTTTCCTTGCAGAAACAGGTATAGCTCCTTTAACAGCTCATGTTAGTTGTGCCCAGAAGTAAAATGTTGTTAACAAATCAAAAAGATTTACTGACATTATGCATTTCAGACTTTTCGAAATGTCCCATTCTTATCGTTGTAACAAACAATAGTTTTGGTCTGTGTCCATCCCCGTCACTGTAGAGACATCTTTAGAACTCTCTCGTAATGTAGACTATTACACTTTATTTTAATTGTGTAAACTGCATTCATTCCAATCCTCAAATGTATGTGCTTCTGAATACTGTATAAATAACCGTAAAAAAAACAAAAACACCCGGGTTGTAAAGGAGTCAAAAATGCCCAGGCTGTTTTTTGGTCCCAGTTCTGCCCTGGTGGTCCCTGAAATGATTTTCAATTATTATGATTGACTTGCACCATGTAAGAGAAACATAGCATGCTATACCTTTTTAAAGCTAACATTTGAAACCCATCACATGATTAGAAAGTTAAATGAAAAGATTATAAAATGTAAATCCACGGATGCTAAATGATCGTCGTAACTTTCATCCCCCGGGGCATGACCAAAATAAGTTTAACGCCCCAGAACAGAAATGTGTCAATATCTAAAGTTCTTTGGAGCGTGTTCCACAGAACTCAGCTCTGGGCAGTGGAAGATGAGCACCTGCCCATTTCAACCGATGGTGTCACACATTTATGAGTCAGATTAAAAATATGAGCCAGTCAGCTGTAGAATAGTTTCCAAATGATAACATTAGGCTTCTTCGGCTCCATTACTCACTGTGGTTTCATGGCGGCTATCTTATGCAGCGTCTCCTCAGTTTCCGGTCTTGGAGTGAGGCCTGTGCAACTCAAGGCCTTTTCCGTCACGTGGATATGAAAACTGCTGACAGAGCCGGACGATTCAAACTCCTCGTTCCATCCATTCTTTTTACCCTAAAAATAAGACATGTTATAGTGTATGATCTGGCCATTATACTATTAAGACTACAGGGATATAAATGTTCTATCATATATATATTTTTTTCTTGGCAGCTTCATTTTTCCAGTTTTCTTCAGCTTGCATGCAATTGCTGTGCACCGCCTCATGCTTGCTTCTCATATGTCCAATGAGATTTGTTGTGTGGACTGCATTTCTAGAATTCCCCTCTCTTTAAATCTGAAAACTGCATAACGCTGATCTTTTTCTGATACTATAAAATATGGCCACACGACCCCGCCGCCTTCTTTGTTTCTTCTACTGAGGAAAGTGTGCCCTCTACCACATTGTCTTGGAACACATCTATTGGCAAATGTCAGTTTTATTTGTAGATGGCAGATGGCAGTTAACAAGGAAAACATCGCCCGTTACCGATGTTCAGCCAATGTATCCCTAGTAAGTAGGTTGATTAAAGAAATCGGTTGTACCCAAGCTTCTTTTGGGTGCAACCAAACAAAACAGCAAGCAAAACCCGAGAGCTCAACCAGGCTTCTTTTCAAATAGATGTTAAAAAATCTACACTCAAATTAACATACATTTGGTACGAGCAAACAATGCAGACATGACACATATGCCGCTGTTGGTATATGGTCCTGTTGATACATATGTAAATCTGATTGGGATGAAGTCAGTGCCTCACCAATCACCAACCTCATCCCAGTAAGCTCAGAGTGAACACAATATTGGCTATTTTCTGTACCTTAGCTGGGTCTTCTTTCCACTGCACACTGCCCACCACAATTGGACCATCTCGGACTTGAACGGTGCACTTCACATGTGTGTGGAGCGCCGTGCTGTCCTTTGCTTCGGGGCCAGATTCCACTCCCTCTGCAATCACAGCTTCTGTCTGCCTCCAGCTAGTTTCATGATGGAACTCGTCTAGTTTGCCTTCTCTTGAGTCTACTGCCTGGTCTTCTGTTTTGTCTCTTGGTTGGTTTCCTGGTTGGTCTTCTGTTGAGTCTTCTGGTTTGTCTCCTGGTTGGTCTTCTGTTGGGTCTTGAGGTTGGTCTTCAAGTTTGGATCTCGGTTGGTCTCTTGGTTGGTCTCTTGGTTGGTCTTCTAGTTTATCTCTTGGTTGGTCTCTTGGTTGGTCTTCTAGTTTATCTCTTGGTTGGTCTCTTGGTTGGTCTCTTGGTTGGTCTTCTAGTTTATCTCTTGGTTGGTCTCTTGGTTGGTCTCTTGGTTGGTCTTCTAGTTTATCTCTTGGTTGATCATCTGGCTCTTCTCTTGATAGGTCTTGTGGTAGGTCTTCTGCTCTGTGTTCTGGTTGGTCTTCTGTTAGTTCTTCTGGTTTATCTCTTGATTGGTCTTCTGGTTGGTCTTCCAGGTCTTTCTCGGTGCCTGCTATAGTCCAGGGGTCAACCTCAGGTGCACAGGCCCCCTCCATTACTTCTACTTGCCTGAAAATCGATCAAAAGCCATCACTGTACTAATGCTTAACAAATACAGTTAAAATGGTTGTTAAATGAAGTCTCAGATATCAGGTGTATGAGGTCACTTCCTGCTGAGGCAGGAGTTCAGGACGTGTTATTCAATGATTAGCTTGTTATTAGATTGATCGATTATATCTGCAACAAATTATGACATAGAAAAATTGAAATAAATTGAATTGGTTTAGTGCATTTTGTCAGTATTAAAACAACATTTTACAATGAGACAAGCAAAGAATATTCATGTCTTTTGAGATATTTCTGCTTGAATATTGACAAATCTTGTGTCAAATTTGCAGCGTAATTAGTAATTCCTGCAGTGTAAGTAAAAAAATAAATAATTAGAGATTATCTTTGATTGTTATGAATATGAGCCAGCACCAACCTGTTAAAGTCAGTGTGATATTGTCATCATATTAAACAACCACATAGATAAATGTTTCACTCAGACTTAAGAAAGTAACAAACAACTGTGAAGTTGAAATGATACACAACACGATACACTAATTTGCTATTTGCTTTTTAAGTGGGGCTTGCAAAAGTCTTCGGTTCTCATTCCCCCGCGTCCAATTGACCAGTTTTCTGATGACTGGTCAAAGGTCAGTAACTACAGCTCAAGTGTTAGAAAGTCCATGTCACTATCTCCTGTGGTGAGCTTTAAATAATGACTAAGGCTCTGACTTTTGCATAAAAATCCTATTCAAAGTTTGTTGGTTTATTAATTCAAATATTCAAATATATTCAAATTATTGATAATAATTTATTACACGCTCCTCACAGCAGCAGTGTCTTGACGGACTCTCAAACCAATAATGACCGCTGCCCTTTGGCAACGCACTCTGTGCTTGTACTTCAGGTGTGTATAATACTAAAATTACTCTGTAAGTAACCTGGACAGTTTGTCACAGCAGGCTTTGTCGCTACTACTGTCTCTGCGAGAGAAGCTATCGGAGCTAGCCATGCTCAATAAAACACAAATAACAATCATAATCAATCAACACATTTAAATGTTCATTGGAGAATATATTATAAATATAAATTCTTAACAAACAATGCACAGAGGTTTTCAGAATAATCTGAAAACCTCTATTTTTTCTAACCTCTAACCTCTATTAAACGTCCTAACCTCTATTAAACGTTTTCATGACAATAATACTGTTTTAATGTGACAAAAAGCGAAAACCTGGAAGTAACCATTAACATGAAATGAACATTTTAGGAACATTTTCAGAGAATCTGATTATGGATTTAGGCTGAGATTATGTTTTGGTCACTCACTGCTGATGTTCAGAATTCTTAGTTCAGTTTTCATGTAGTTCCAGAGAGTTCTAGTTTGGAAGAAGTTAGCCACGGCGAGGCAAAACCTTTGGGAACTAATTAATTCATTTGCAGTCATTAAATGAACCTTTTCGGCATTCCTAAAAGTGACTGAAGTTTATTTTGAGTGTTTAATTGCCACAAAGCCGTATAATAAGTTTGGATGATGTATAGGACGCAGGTCATTATCGGAAAATAAGTACCTTCACGATAATAGCCCCGTTAATGAGTACCTTCACAACTTCACTGAAAAAGACCCGAAATCTAAATAAAACTAACGTCCAGCATATCATCTAATACAAAATATAATGCCCATTACATCTTTGTTAAGGGCTGTCAATTATTAGTTCAAACATAGTTATATATTTTTAATATTCAAATTATATTCAAAAATATTGAAATATAAGCCCTCATAACAGATACTGGAACTTCTGAGTTGGGAAAACCTTTTTGAACTTTGTGAATGTGCATGTCCCTATGAGGGGATTTTCAGTATCAACTACAGTATATGTGCATACTATTGATTCATCATCTAAAGGTATCAAGTTCCACAGGACCCACTAAAATCTTGGTATTTTGTCCCAGGCTAATTTTGTATTCAAACTTACAGTAATGCTGAGTTGAGGCCATGCATAGACTCTAAAACACAGCTGTAGAGGACAGTAAACACAGCACTGAGGGCTGAAGGAAGACATCCTCAAGACTAATCCGCACAGCACAAACAATAAAGGCAACTGTCATGTTATACTAACAATATCGGTTTGCTAAGTAAGGGATAATGTATAGTACGAAGGTCATTATCGGAAAATAAGTACCGACAGGGCGGAGTGGACCCCGGGGTCTGCATACGCCCGCTTATTATACGGCTTTGTACCAACAGAACACACAAAATAAACTTCAGTCACTTTTAGGAATGCCAAAAGGTTTATTTAATGACTGCAAATAAAATAGTTGCCAAAGGTTTTCTCTTTTCGACTTCAAAACTAGAACTCTACATGAAAACGAATTCTGAACATCAGCGGGGAGTGACTCATATATAAACTCAACCTAAATCCATATTTCAATCCTCTGCAAATGTGTCTTTAAATGTTATTTCATGTTATTGGTGACTTCCGGGTTTACCACATTAAAACAGAGTATTTTTGTCATGAAAACGTGAACTGATAATTCTGAAAACCTTTGTGCACGTGTGTTAAGAATGTATTTGTATAATGTATTCTCCGATGAACATTTAAATGTGTTATTGAATGATATTCGTGTCATTTGAGCGTGGCTAGCTCCGATAGCTTCTCTCACAGAGACAGAAGTAGCGACAAAGTGGCCGGACTACTTTCGGAGTAATCTACACACATGAATTACAAGTAGAGAGTGCGTTGCCAAAGGGCAGCGGTCATTCATGTTTTGACAGGTCAGTTATCAAAAATAACCGGTAGAACATTTTGAAATTACATTCAATAAATGGAGCGTTCTCCTGCTGCTGTGAGGAGCTGTGTAATAATGTTTTATAATGTTCACACAGCGGCTTCTCACAAGCCTGTCCCCTGAGCGCGCAGACATACACCTCTATCTCAGTCGTTGGCTCATCTGCAGATATCAATGTGTGGCCTCATCCCTTCATACAGTGGTCCCATTGCTTTGTCATAAACTGGAATCGCCGGTTCTCCTCTGTTGCTGTGGCCCCAAAGTCAAGCTCCAGATGGCATTCTTCCCTTCATTCTTCCTCTCCCACTCAGTTGCGCCAACTAATTGTCCACAAGTAAACAAAGTTGCGAGGCAACACTCAAAAGTCTAAAGTCCAGACTTATCCAAAGTTAAAATCTGTGAAAACTGCTGTTTACAAATGCCTTGCATGTAATATAACAGAGCTTGACTTGTACGAATGGGAAATCTGTGCAAAATCAGTCTCTAAAGCTTCAACTCCTGCTGCATGATTACTGATGCATGCCCCACTTTACAGGTTAGGGTGACAAAAAGTCTAACGTCTATCTTTATAGAAAATAGACAAGACAAATTAGAAGACGTTATCTGTATATATATATATATATATATATATATACATATATATACATATATATATATAGATATATGCGTGTGGATAAGGAGTTTCACCCTTCTGAGGAGACGTGGCTGTGTGTCTGAAGCGTTTCTGCGGTCTTCCGCCTGTCAACATCTTCCTGCACATCAGCTAAAGAGGACTCCTCTGTGGACTTTAGAAGCTGAAAAAACACAAGACTATTTATTACCCCATGGGACCTGACCATCTGATTCTGCAGTACAGCTGTGCGTGTTAACAAACCAATGCTCTGAGCCTTTTCCTTTACACATTTAAATCAAGTGTATAAACAATACTATACAAAATGTGAAGCCCGACCAAAAGAAGTTGACTAACTTTTGAACAAGTGAAAAAGTTTGGCCTGCTTATGAATAGTAAGTTTGGCCCCCCGAGGAAAATAGTTTGGACACGTCCATCATGACCTTTGTCATCATTGGCTCGTGCAGACTGGTTCTCTTGATTTTCTTGAATATTAATATTAATATTTGGAGATGATCACATAAATGATGATCACAACTCACTGCACGGCTATATCGTTGTGACAAGACTTACTTGTCTTTCTTGGTTAAACATGTCCTGTAGCTCAGCCGTACGGAGAGAGAGGTAAGGGTAGTACAAGACATGACAGACAGCCAGAGCCGACATGTTCTCCCCATTCAACTTGTCAATGTCTGCTCCCATGTCCAACAGAATGTCAATCACATCTTTACAGCAATTCACCTGAAAGAAGAATTGGGGAAAGTCATTTGACTGCAATCACAGTGAACTGAAAACAGCTTGAGCTGGTTTTTGACAAGGAACATTTTTGTAATGCGTTTGTGCCGAGACGCACATGCAGTTCCACACTGGAACGCGCGTCACCATTGAGTTTGCATTGAAAGTCGCCGCAGCATGATACGGTCTGAACGCGGCATAAGTACACGCAGACATTTAACAGTACAGTCATGAGAATGTCACAGTGACGGTCGTAAAGGGCAGGGGTCTAGATGAGTTATGATGTGTTTATGAGATTGACTGCAGAGGGAAAGAAACCTTTTTCATGGCCCTGGTCCTGATGGACCGTGGCCTTCTGCCTGAGGGGAGTGGTTTGAATAGTCCATGTGCAGGTGAGAGGGTTTTTACAAGCTGTGAGCTAATTATAATTTATGATATAATTAGGGCTGTCAAGCGATTGCATTTTTTTAATCAAGTTAATTACAGCTTAATAATGAATTAATCGTAATTAATCACATTTCGATGATGCCATATTTTTCTGTAAACGGTTGTTTGAATGGAAATGATAAATGTCAACATAGTGTACATATGTACTGTATTTGTTTATTTAAATAATAAATCCATAAAATGGCATTAACATTATTAACATTCGGTCTTTCTGTTTAGACTCAGACCAAAAGGAGATTGAGGCTCCATAATCCACGCACAGGTTACACAAAAACACACAACAAGCAGAGAATAGTCCTGTGTGCGTGATGTTACGGCAGCGCCGTTCATCAAAATATTTTCAGCAGTTGATTGTCTCCAATAAGAGAAACCCCAAGGTGCTCTTTGACACCATAAACTCTATTGTCTCTCCTGCTGCTGCTGCTGTCGCAGTGCAGAGCAGGTTGCACAGAGTTTCTGAGTTTCTTTATTGACAAGGTTAGAGCGATCAAAGACAATCTTCCTTCCTCTCCTTCCTTCAGTCATGCTCAGGTTGACCCTCCTCTTCAGAGCTGGTCGTCCTTCGAGTCAGTCACTAAAGAGGATATTTTATGCACTATAACCAGTATGAAAGTGTTGTGTTGTCGCCTGGATGTTGTCCCAGCTCGGCTGTTTGTTAATGTTTTAGAGTCTATCGGTCCGTCGATCACTAAAATGTTTAACATGTCGCTCTCAACTGGTGTGTTCCCGTGCTCTCTTAAACATGCTGTTGTGGAGCCCCAATTAAAGAAACCCAGCCTGGACCCTACAGATCTTCAGAACTTTAGGCCCATATCAAAGATCCCGTTCTTGGCCAAAGTCCTGGAGAAGCTGGCCTACAACCAATTATCAGCGTTCTTGGAGGCTAATAATATTTTTGACTCCTTTCAGTCTGGTTTCAGGAGGTTCCACTCCACTGAAACAGCTTTACTGAAGGTGTCTAGTGACATCATGATGGCTGCTGACTCCGGTAAATGTTCCGTCCTGGTCCTGTTAGACCTGTCGTCTGCCTTCGACACGGTGGACCATGGTATCTTGGTCTCTAGACTCCGGGATGTGGTTGGCATGTCAGGCTCTGTGTTAGAGTGGTTTAGATCATACCTGACAGGTAGAACCTTTTGTGTGTCTCAAACAATGTGGTGTCTGAATCCGCAGACCTACAGTGGGGTGTACCCCAAGGCTCCGTTCTTGGGCCTATTTTATTTATGTTGTACCTGCTCCCGCTAGGCTGATCCAGCAGTTCAGTGAGGTCTCCTACCACCTGTATGCTGACGATCTCCAGCTGTACTGCTCTTTTAAGCCCTCTGAGCCCCAGAGACTGGTTGCTCTCACTAACTGTCTGGACAAAATAAAGATATGGCTTAGTGAAAATAGCCTCCAGCTGAACTCCAGTAAAACAGAAACCTTAGTGTTAGCCCCGGACAGTATTGTTTCTGTTATTGCTCAGCACCTTGGTGACCTAAGTAGCTCAGTAAAAAAGAGTGTGAGGAACCTGGGAGTCACTTTTGATGGAGGGATGTCCCTAGAACGACACACCAAACAGCTGACCCGAAACTGCAATTTCCACTTGCGCAACATCTCTAAGCTCAGACATATGGTCTCGGGTCCGGAGCTGGAGATGATTGTCCACGCTTTTGTTTCCTCGCGATTGGACTACTGTAACAGCCTGCTTACATGTCTTAGTAAAAAAGACCTGGCTCGTTTACAGGTCGTCCAAAATTCTGCTGCAAGGCTTTTGACCCGCACCCACAGGAGAGCTACCACAGGAGAGCTACCACAGGAGAGCACCCACAGGAGAGCACCCACAGGAGAGCACCCACAGGAGAGCACCCACAGGAGAGAGCACCCACAGGAGAGAGCACCCACAGGAGAGCACCCACATTACCCCTGTCTTGAAGGCCTTACACTGGCTCCCTGTCTCACACAGAATACATTTTAAAATTCTGGTGTTGACTTTTAGGGCCCTTCATGGTCAGGCGCCTGAATACATCCAGGGCCTGATCCACCCTTATGTCTCCAACAGGAGTCTGAGGTCCTCTACTCAGAACCTGTTGATGGTCCTCCACTCAGAACCTGTTGATGGTCCTCCACTCAGAACCTGTTGATGGTCCTCCACTCAGAACCTGTTGATGGTCCTCCACTCAGAACCTGTTGATGGTCCTCCACTCAGAACCTGTTGATGGTCCCCCGGACTCGTTTCAAAACCAGAGGAGACAGATCCTTCCAGGCAGTTGCTCCTCGCCTTTGGAATGAGCTTCCTCAGTCTCTGCGTATCGTAGAGACTGTTGATGATTTTAAGTCCCAACTAAAGACACATTTGTTTGGACAGGCTTTCTCGCACCATTGTTCATAGGCCTCTGTGAATGTAAATTGTGTTTTCTGTGTTTGTTTTATCTGACTTGTATGTGTATTTTGTATTTTAATGTGTGAAGCGCTTTGTGACCCTGGTCTGTGAAAGGCGCTATACAAATAAACATTACTTACTTACTTACGTTCGCCGTGTCTTTGTCAAACACTGTCCAGAGCAGCCGCAGCTGCCCCGGGTCAGAACGCTGCAGGAGGATGTGGACTCTCGTTCAGTACATACAGCAAACAACAGCCTCACGGTCACACGGCCGTTTTTTTTAAAACTTGAATTCCCAGAAGGCCAAGCTGCTCTGTTGCCATCTCACACACGCGTGTGTCCGTGCATTCTCAGTGTTATGGGCGGGTCCATACATGCATCTACCCGTTATTTTTTTTAACGCAATTAATGAATTTTTTTTTTTACCGCGCATTAACGATAATTTTGACAGCCCTAGATATAATATATATCTTGCTTTGCAAATAATTTGTCATTTATATATTAGTTTCACATTTTATGTTGAATTATAGAAGTAAATGGACTTCTGAACAATGTTCTAATTATCCACCTGTATGGAACATTGTTTTTGTATTCAGGTTTTCATTGGCCTTCATCTGCCATGATCCTCGTAGTTCTATGGCTGTAGACTTAGGCAACAAGAGCATTTAATGGTCGTAAAGGAAACTATTATGTATGCATCAATCCAGCTTTTTTCTTGTCTATCCGTCATTTTCTACTGCTTTATCTGTTGCAGAGTCAGGTGGACAGCAGTCGGAGCAGAAGCACCCAGACTTCCCCTATCCACACACACTTCCTCCTGCTCATCCACTGCTCCAGGGGAATCTTGAGGCGTTCCCAGCTCAGCAAAGAGACAGTCCCTCCAACGTATCTCGAGTCTTCCTCAGGTTTCCTCCTGGTTGGGCATGCCCAGAACACCTCCCCAGTGAAGTGTCCAGGAGGTATCCCAAACAGATGCCTGAACAACCTCAACTGGCTCCTCTTGATTTGGAGAATTGAAAAGATGAAATACTGTATGTTAGTAAAAGGATTAGACGTATTACCGTGGCAGCCATGAGGGCCGTGTGTCCTTGTGCATCTGCCACGTCAGGGTGAATTAGACCAGAGCGCCCCAGCTCCGCCACAGCCCTCCACTCCTCTGCTGAGGCCAGGCCGATTAGCCGCTCTGAGTTGACCTCCAGAGGACCCTTAGGACCAAAGCCTCTGCGCTCAAGACACAAGACGGCCCCTACATCCCAGCTCAGCCTCCGCTCCTGCCGCCTAGGACACAACATGCTCTCACTATACAATATAAATGCAAGTTATACTGAAAGATGAAGGCAACATGAACGTATTACACAGACTGTCAGTCAAGCTGTATATGGTGCGAAGTATGGTAACTTGTGCACTATCCTTTCCTCTTCCAACTTTATCTGCTGTCATTATAACTTCAGCTGTAGTCTGTTCATTGCTATTCACTTCCTGTTACATTGTCTGTTTCAAGGTGTGATGATTGACCCCTGAACCCAGCCTCCTCCATCGGCACCTGCAGACTCTCTTCCTACCAGCCTGGACTTGTGGGTTGCACCCCTTCCCCACCAGGGAGCTGCCTCTGTCCTTATTCTACAGCTTGAGTCCTGGATCTACAGCACGTTCATCCATGGGATTTTGGGAACGGCGAGGTTTCTCACTTTTCTCTTTGCAGGAGGGTCCAAAGACAGTGGTTATGATCCAGGACACTCAACATTCAACGACATTTAAGGACTTCATCAACATTTGGTCATCTGCCCCTTTTGGACCAATAGCTCTCTGTGTTTTTTTGTAGCAGGAACTATTGCAACAACTAACCTCCATCATTTCTACTGTACTGTCTGCTTTTACAGACTTTCTAACTTCTGAGCCTCATGGACCAAAATGATGCAGTGACTCTTGTCTAAACAGAAGTGTGTCACCTGTGCTGCTGTATATTGGCCAGCATGCGGGCCTCCAGGGGCAGATAGGACAGTGGGTCCCTCTGATAGCCCCAGTGTGGGCTCTCATCAGCCTCCCACTCATCCCCATAAAACTGTTGGTCCAGCTCTCTACTGCGATTGGGAGGCAGAGGCAGGTGGTCTGCATTAGTAGAAAACATCTCAATCCTCGGGGGCAGGATGTAAAGGTCATCTGGAAACCGTTTCTGAAAGTCCAAAGACAAGATGGGGGGTAATAAATGGAACAAGGACTTGTTTCATAAGATTGCTAAGGACCTTAAACAGGCCATTGGCCTCTGACTTTGTAAAGTGTGTAATATTTGCTTTCTCTGGGTTTTGTACAGGGGGCTCCAAAGGTTCTGTACTCTGTGTGTCAAGCGCTTTACCCCTACTGGGATTTGAGTCCAAATGTAGGACTCAATCAATATTATTTAGAGTGACTTTTTAAGGAACAAATACTTGTTGCTTATTTTGTCCCTTAAAGGAGCAGTATGTAAGAATCCGGCCAAAAAGTGGTACTGCAGCCTCTCCCACTCTCCCTGCCTCAGGTTGCCAGATATGCAGACGAATCCAGCTGGGACCATAACAGCTGAATAGACAAGAGTTTTGTCAACAACAAATCTATAACCAACACCTTTTTCACAAAGATAGAAATCCTGCTTTTATTCCTTGTTTTGTCGTTAATGAATGATTTGTGTATATATATATATTTAGGGCCATGTTGTTACAGGTATAGCTGCTTTTGGATCTGACAGAAACTCTTGGATTATATTCTTATAAAGATGGCTATGTGTGAAAAATACAATAAAATGTCTGGTTTGCATCATGAGGATATAGATTGCATTATAGATGATAATACTTTATTTATGTACTTACATATGGTTTAGAATGTATGAAAGGAACTATGCAATAAAAGTATCCCTTACTGATTGTAATTATCATTAAATAATATTTGACTTCATGTAAAAGGTGTAATGTATTGTTTTTTTTGTGTAGTTACAATGTTTTTTTAAAAATCAGTGATTTGATCCTATGCTTTCTAATTACTATACAATAAGCCAGACTGCTATACAAAACATACATGTTAGCAGTTAGTATATCCATATGACATGCAGCATAATTCAACAGATAAATCATTATCAGATCCGCGGGAGGGAACAAGGCTCTAATTGAGAGTGAGGAGTTGTCGTCATAGCACAGAGCCCCTCCCCGTCTCCGCCATGTTGGTAGGATCCCAGCGGCAAACACTTGTTGTAGTTAACTCGGTAGCAAAGGAGGTCGTCGCTATTTCTGTTTTACCATGCCTGGAGCTCATTGCTGTGTTAAAAACTGCTCCAGTACCTCACACAATAAGAAAGGAAAACGTAGGAACAACGGTTTACAATTGTTTAGGCTACCAAAATGGATACAACATCAGGGAGCGCAAGTGTCTGACCTGACGAAGAGACGCCCGATGGCTTGGTTGGCTGCAATAAGAAGAAAGGACCTTACTTTCGATCTCACCCCCCAGTCGATGAGAGTGTGTTCTCTGCATTTTCACTCGGGTACGTCCTAAAATGTCTTTATGTTGTTTTTAGTTAAGAAGTGTAGGTTACCTAGCTGTTAATGTTGCAAACACTGAAGTGCATCTTAAGTTAGCTGCCTAGCTAACTATCTAACAAACTGTTGCCTCTATGAAAATGCTTAATGGCCAACCATTAATGCTAACTAAGAATATTTAAGTTTCTGCTCATTATCCTACCTTGTTGGTGGAATATGGGCACTCAAAGTGCGTTTGTCTCTGTCTCTTATGTTCTCTAAACCATTGGTGCCCAAACTTTTTTTTTGTCTTGTGTTGCCACTACCCCCTGAGCCCTTTTATGAAACCATGAATAGCGTTACCTTCTTGTTTAATATTTCTTTAGATTCCAGATTGTTTAATAATCTTATTAATCTGATGTAAGTAAACCATTATATGAGATTGCTAAAAATAGTTGAGATTCTGTTCATGACATTATGCTACCTTGTTGCCAGTTTAAAGCATTGACTACATAGATTATTCTGTTCTAGGTAAACCATCATATGAGATGTTGGAGAATCACCCTGACTGGACACCATCCTTGCGGTTAGGCCACAATAATGTTAAAGAAACAGATGGAGCGCAATATCAGCGGCAAGTAAAGCGCAGGACCCAGCCCAAGCCCAGCAGCCTCCATCGCCAGCCCAAGCCCAGCAGCCTCCATCGCCAGCCCAAGCCCAGCAGCCTCCATCGCCAGCCCAAGCCCAGCAGCCTCCATCGCCAGCCCAAGCCCAGCAGCCTCCATCACCAGCCCAAGCCCAGCAGCCTCCATCGCCAGCCCAGCAGCCTCCATCGCCGGCCCAAGCCCAGCAGCCTCCATCGCCAGCCCAAGCCCAGCAGCCTCCATCGCCAGCCCAAGCCCAGCAGCCTCCATCGCCGGCCCAAGCCCAGCAGCCTCCATCGCCGGCCCAAGCCCAGCAGCCTCCATCGCCAGCCCAAGCCCAGCAGCCTCCATCGCCAGCCCAAGCCCAGCAGCCTCCATCGCCAGCCCAAGCCCAGCAGCCTCCATCGCCAGCCCAAGCCCAGCAGCCCCCATCGCCAGCCCAGCAGCTGCCTCAAGGAAGGATGAGGAAGCTCTCACCCTTCCAGCTTGTCCTATTGACTGTAATGCGCCTCAGATTAGACCTTCCATCTCAGAATTCACGTTGAGAGGGTGATTGGTGTCACTGTTTGCTGTGCCTTAACGAACATGTGCAAAAGTGTTGTTTGAGTGCCTTGTTCATAACTTATGAACCAACCAGAACCCCTCATGTCATCTGGATCCGAGTCCAGAGTCAGAACCAGACACGGAGAAGCTGCATTCAGCTTCTATGCTCCACATGTCTGGAACAAACTCCCAGAAAGCCTCAGATCAGCTGAAACACTCAGTTTGTTTACATCCAGGTTAAAGACCCACCTGTTCTCAGCTGCTTTTCAATATGTTTTATTCTAATGTATAAATCTGCACGGCTTCTTTTAAGCTGGAATTACTTATCTGTTATCTTTTTCTTATGAATTTTTGTTTTTAATTTTAAATCATGCTTTTTATTCTGTTACTTTTGAATGCTTCTTCTGCACCCAGCTGTAATGCTTCTTAATTTTTTATTTAAAGTACTTTGAATTGTTTTGTAATATGAATTGTGCTGTACAAATAAACTTGCCTTGCCTTTTTAATTTCTTTGAAAATAAATGTTTGAAACAACTTCATGTGGCAAAGCAATATTTATTGAGAAATTAACTTTTTTGGAGGGGGGGGTGTAATCTCTTGGAAAAGTTAACAGTGCAAAAGAACGTGTGCAGTCAACGTATAAATATTTCAGCATGAAAAGACGGACAACATAATAATAAAATAGTAACACTGCTGTTAGTGCAAGTACAACAGTGTTTTCACCGCCTGGAGGCTGTAGATGGCCAAGTCCTGCACCCAACCACAGCAGAAAGCCTCGTAACTCTCCAGTGACTTGTGACTTCTAAACTCCTGCATTGTATAATAACTAACACCGAAAACAAGGTAATTCACTATATCCATGTACGTGCACGGAGGCAAAAAGTCAAGGTATTTTTGCCACTCCGCTGCAGGAAGCTCGTATGGGTCTACCTGTTGTATGTCTGAGAGCTTCTCCAAATAACGTTGTTTTGCTTTTCCCTGTACGGTCCATTTCCTTTCGCCTTCACTTTCTCCATTAACTGTCTTGCTAGTGTTGTAATCGTAGATTTATCTACTGCCGAAATAATAAACGGCCGCTCAAGTTAAAGACCTCTGGAGCGTTTAGCATAGACTGTAGCTATATACTGAGCGTTAGTGGCGTTGCCCCTGGCAACCGATAGAGGATCCTATCAACATGGCCGACCGGATTAGACCCCGCCCAAATTATCACGTGACTCCTCATTCTCAATAGGATCAGTAGCGGGTCCTGAGCAGATCCGTGAGGTCCGCAGATCCACGGTGAAAAGGGCCGTGGGTGGCGGATGTGCGGCAGATACTTTTTGCTAGGATACGCCTAACGCGTGCGCAAATGAATCAGCCTCCTCTATGAAAGTGTTTCTTCACTTTTTTCCTGGGGAGGGGCAGCTCGTGGCATTTTTTTTTCAAACGGACCTGGTTAAAAAAAAACACAGCATTGACTTGTGGAACTTAGCTTTGGACCAAGTGCCATGTTTTGAACTGAGCTCTAAAGCCGTGTTTTGACTCATGGAAAGTCTAGGGTTCCACAGTGTAATTCCGTTTACGCAGAAGTACTAAAGGGATTATATCCATATTTCATACTTGACCAGCCCATCGCTTCCACTGAACGGGATCAGGCTTTTACATGCAGACATGGGCACGACAAAACAAATGTCCAGAGTATACCCTGCCCCTGCCCATGTTGAAGTACAGACTCTCTAATCTCCAGGGACTTTGAGACCAGTTTGAGAACATCTGCCTTAGCTGTATGTTTTGTTTTACCTTGGAGTCAGGCCATATGACCCTCTCTCCAGCAGCAGCAGCAGCAGCAGCAGCAGCAGCAGCAGCAGCAGCAGAGTTTCCATAGGCAGCATACTGAGGGAAGTCCCGAAGTGTAAAGCCCTCCTCTACAGTGGTACAGAGTTGGAACAGACGCTGGTTGTGCCACAGACCCACATCTTGCCGGCCGTCAGGATAAGTCAGGACTCCAGGCCCAAGCCTTTGGCCCATATGGTACAAGCCCTGAGCACACAGAGCCACATTCAGGCATCATCTAGTGCCTAAAGGACAAATATTTTACATTATTTGTGTTCATTTTAAGAATATTTACTATGGCATAATTTAGGTGCCTAACTTTCAAACTAAAAAAATCATACAACTATGTAATAAAATCCATCTACAGTTAAAAAGATTTGCAGTTTTCATCATAGGTACACATCAACAATAAGGTGTAATCACCTACAAACAAACAAGCCAGCGCCAACAAAGGGTACAAAGGATTGAGATGGTCTTTTGTTTGTCACTAAATACTTAATTTCCACCACAAGTTGCTAATGTTTTCTCATTTTGTTTATGTATGAAGAAAATGACAAGCATCAAGTGGGAGGACTTTCACAATGGGTGGCTGACAAAATATTCTTTTGTGAAACTTCCATCTAGCCTGGTCGTACCACACCATAGTACAAATTACATTTCTCAGGTCTTCTAAATTCTTACTCCCACCTCCACAGATGGGGCTCAATTGTTTTAATCGAATTGATTAAAAAACGCGGTTTACTTGAAAGTGCATTCCATTGGGGAACAAGATACTGGCCATAGCCCTCGCTTCTGTTCAGGTAGAATTTTCCGATGAACTTGTGTCCAGATGGCCAGCTGTAAACTCCTTCTCCATGTCGGAAGTCTTTGTAGAAGTCACCCTCATAAGTCTAGAAAAAACACATTTCTATCACAATTAAATGCTGAAGAAATGATAATGTTGTGAATAATGAAAACCCAAAAATACAGTGCATCAATTTATGACGATAAAAAAGAATTCAGTAAAAGACACGGAAATGTTCTCAAAAGTACTAACACAGAATTTCTACAGTAAAAGTGAATGATATTTTACACAGTGGTAGAGGGCATCTTAGTGAACAAGTGTGCAGTGAAAGTAGTCGCAAAACTATTTTTATTCTTTTTTTAATGATTTTATTAATAAAAATTGCATCTTGCTTGCTTCTCGTCGCGGCTTCCCTTTCCACGTTTACCGTAAGTAACAGCATAAAGGAGCCAACCGCTTTCAAAGTGCGGACCTCTTTACCGCTGCCGACGAAATACAGGGCCACTTTACCGCTGCAGGGCCACTTTACCGCTGCGGGGGCCACTTTACCGCTGCAGGGCCACTTTACCGCTGCAGGGGCCACTTTACCGCTGCAGGGGCCACTTTACCGCTGCAGGGCCACTTTACCGCTGCGGGGGCCACTTTACCGCTGCAGGGCCACTTTACCGCTGCAGGGGCCACTTTACCGCGGTTTCAAAGGTTTCAAAAACACCGGTTGTCTTCTTACCTCTCCGGTGTTCCACGTGTAAACTCCTTCCCCGTGTTTCAGGCCGTTCACGGTCTTTCCCTCGTAAGAAGAGCCGTCAGAGAAGTGTTGGACCCCGGCCTGGACCTGCTCTTCGCGTCCTTCACACTCCCCCGTGTGCCCCCCCAGCCCCGGCCTCACAGACACCAGGGCCCCAGGAGCTCCGGGTGCTCCGGGTGCAGGGAGCATCTCCGCAGCCGTAGTTGTACCAAAGAGTATAGATAACTTACTTTCTAAGTACTTCCATACTCTCTTTGGTTGTGTTTGTTACTCTCAACGTAACAACGTACGGCGTTGGTGGTTGTCATGACTACGGGGACGTCTTCTTCAGGTGGAATTTAAGCGCATGCGTGGTAAGACGCGGAGACTTTCTGTAAACCACTGTCCATGCTGTAAACACTGCTGTTTATATTTTTAAATTAGTTTGAAGTCGGGATATTTAACTTTGGAACCACAGATAACACGTTCCAACACTAGATTTCACATGTCTGAGCTTTCAAAGGGATATTTTTCAGTGTGCAAAAGATGTTTTCTGATAAGATGAAGACATTTCACTTTTCTGGATACCCCCGTCTTACTGCGTATAGATGACCACAGATAATGTAAGGCTCCCGAGCGAGGGACCATAGACCACGCGAACAGAACAACAGACAGGACCATAGACACCACAAAAGAACGCACAGACAGACATGTACATTTACATTTACATATACGCAGACAGAAACCCAGACAGGGCGGAGACACGCGAGCACGCGGATCATAGACAACTTGGACAGAACCAGAGACACACGCAGCATAGACACTCTGAGTCGGACAGGTCCCATATATGTTTTATTGTGTTTAAAGTTACCTAAGTTTCTCCTTGCATTAAAATGCTTGGTGTTGTGGATATTTAGACTGCGTGATTTGATAGAATAATACCGCAATGTCTAATACATACAGATTTTCAGTAAATTAATAAAGACAAAAGAAAAAGAAGAGGAGGTCAAAATATCAATCCATTGCATATTGAAAGAATCAATACACTTCTTTGATTTTCGACAATTCATGAAGTGATGTGTGTTTAATTGGGTCGCCAAAGTAACAATCTTTTTAATCTTCTACCACATAGTGAACCCCATAACACAAGTGTGGCCATAACAGAGTAATTCCCAATTTACATGTTTATATGACTGAGATGAGTAGTTTGAATGTCGATCAAGGAAAGCTATAAACTGTTTTTTCTCAGAATTCTGTTCATAAAACCATTAAATACGCTGACTGTCAGATTAATGAGAACTTTTTGTTACAGACATGCTATGGAGAAAAGGAAACCCAATGAAAAGATATTAGAAAGCAGCTTTAAGATGTGCGAGGCGAGCCTGGCCTGACTGCGCTCTCCTCCTCTGACCGACGGCCACCTCACGCTGAACTTTCTTAAAATAAAATGAAAAAAGGATACTCTGTTGTGAATGTTTTGGAGAGCATTGTCAGTCCTACGAGAGGATATAGCTGTTGTTCTCGGGGAAACGAGCTCGCTAGACAGTGTGATATGATCATGCCAGCTTATGGACAAAATTGATTCAGGCCAAATAAACGGAACTATATTGAAGCCACGTAGAGAACGTGGATGACGCTCAGGGGTTATATTTCTAAAAAAGATTAGAACGCAACATTTAGTTAATAGTGTTGTATACAAATAAAAAATATTGACATTATGACATTAAACAAAAAAAAGTCTAATGCCTTTGAGAGCGAGAACAAAATTGGGAAGGCCAAGAAAAAAACTGGTAGGCACCAGGCCTACCCCAGGGCCTATCCCTGGCCGAGCTGGGCCGTGCATCGTGAAATGTTCGATTCTTGTCTGAGCCATTTTGTGCACCATCTTTTTGGTTGCTTGTGGCAAAACTGGTTTTTTTCATTAAACAATTATTATATAACATCCTTGTCTTTAATGTCTGAAAAAATATTGGTGATATGTTTTGATCAGACCGTAAGATACGTTACAATACATCCTCCCTCTGCCTGGCCCCGGGAGCAGCTGCACTCATAAGAAAAGATGTGTTTAATTATTAACACATGTTATTGTTACTACTTTTTAAAACACTTGTTGTGGTTAAAATATTTGAAAATTGTTGTAAAAAAATGCGAATCATAACCGCAAAAAGAGCTTACACATCCCTGTGTTGACCTAGACAGCCAATCAGGTTTCAGAGCAGCGGCAAAGTCCCGCCTCCATTTACCTCATCTGTCTTTTGAAAACCGGGACCGAGCGAGGCTGGCCCCATGAATCTCGGGCTGCCGCCGTCAACAAAATAAGGTAAGCATTATAATATAAATAAGTATTCAATCTCATTACAGAGTTGTCTGCTTTGCTATATGAGCCGTGCAGGTGTATTAACACGATAAAAGATGGTTTGTGGGAGTCACTTTTCGTGAGGGGGAGAGGGGGGGGGATAGGAGGGGGGGGCCTGGGGAAAAAAGGTTATTATGTAGCTTTCTGTGTGCTAAGGAGCGCGCTTGTTAACGGTCTGTGCAAAACGTAACGTTACTACATTTATAATTAATTGGTGGCTTGTTGTTAGTTAACCCTAACCAGACGAAGTTGAGTAGCTGTGGTAAACACTTAAACGATGTCATCGATCAAGATATGTGGGATAAATAACTGATCTGACAGATCATTTATCAATAATGCGCGAAGTTGACCCCCAGCTTCGTAAAGCTCTGTTTTTCCAGGTTAGGACCACTCGGATGTGGTAGTGCTAACCCAAAGCATCCAATAGATTCATTGAGTTGTGCGGGCACACAGTTAGCAAATGCTCATAAAGAGGACCGTAAATGTGAAATGGGGGCCAATGCTGGCTTTATATGTGATATTTGAGGTGAGTGCGGTGTTCACCCCTGTCATGGAAGCAGGAGGCTAGCGTTTGAGTTTTGAAGGCTGATGCGGAAGCACGAGTAAACTGAGAGCCGGTTTTATTGCATACAAGAACTACGGATGGTAATTAATTCTTGCTCGCAGTATGTTTGATTATGCTTACAATTTTCCACAAGTCTAGTAATTTTAACGAGCCTTTTTAAAAACTCAATATTTTAGATAACCCGTGTTTATGAATTTCATGATCTGTAATCTTAAATAGCTATACTACATACATGATAATTTAGCATTTGATTAAAAGATTGCTTAATTTAGGCGGGTGTGTGCAGTTTGACAGGTAAGAATAAATACATATATTTTTTATTTTGTTCTTTTTTTCCCTGTCAGATGGAGGAAGAATCCCCCGATACTCTTTGACTATTGTGCTGGATGACAAAGAGATTGCCAAAAGAGTGTTTACCAATCATCAAACAATTAAAGAACTGATTGATAAAAACACAAGCTTTTTTAAACAAGACAAAGCCGACTTCATTCTGCTTCAAATAACAGTGAAGATTTTAAGGATTTACTGATGCGGATGTCAAATGTACTTGTCCAAACCTTGACAAATACAGAATTCATTTAAATCATAACACTTCGGATATCAGGTTTGTAATGTTCACACTATTGGGTAATATTTTTTATTTCTTATTGTAAAACGCACAACTTTTTAATCTGTTTTACTGTTTTTCCTTCCTAAGAACCAGCCCTTCGGGGTCAACTTCAATTGGAGCCATTGCTTCATCTCAGTTGGACTGTCAAGTATGTCTTTGTTTACATGTGATACATTATATTGTAGTGAATGCATGAAACCTGAAGTAATTTTAATAGTGTTGTCAAAGTACAATCCTGTTAACAACTTAAAATGTGAAGTGAATATACATTATGGACTTATGGTAAAAGAGACTAGTGCCAATTATTTATGCCTTTAATTCTAACTTGCAGTAATTTTGCTTGTAAAAACCACAAATCAGTCTTTGTCCTGACTCTGGTCTTGGTCCTGAATCTTTCTGTAATATAGTTGCAAAGGTAAATTCCTTTTTCAGATCTCCTTGTCCATTTTTTCCATTGTCGATTCTCCTCCATCTGACTTTAAAAAAAGAAGAAAAAATGTATTGGGCCTTCTTTTTATGTAATAGTTTCCCAACATAATTACATTTTTCATGATTTTCAAATGTTTCAGCATTCACCTGTATTCATGGATTTCTTGTTTTTTTGCAGAAGAACCACAGCCACGCAATGATAGTATTGAGAAAACAGTTGAAAGGAAAAAGCCCCAAATCTCCTCTTGGAGTTCGCATCATCAGCAGCTCTTTCCATCCACGTCACAAAAACTGCTTGTTAAAGTATCTGTGAGCCCATCCTCGTGGAACAGAAGGGATTGATCTCTCTCTCTCTCTCTCTCTCTCGTGAAGAAAGAATTTTTTGTAGAAAATTACATTTATACACACGATAATGTTACTGACATGGAGTCATAGGATCACAGAACTTTGAGTTAGATTATAAAGAGGCATTATTTTATTTTTTATCTCCAAGGCGTCTAGACAAGTTTTTTTTCCCTACATTTTGGTGATATAAAAGTTAGAATGATCTTAGAGAGCATTATACTTTTGGAAAAATAGGGCTTAGGATAGTAGTTGAATGCAGATTTGGTTTTCAGAATTTAATGTTTAAAATGTTAATAGTAATTATTTCATTAGGTTTATTTTGAATTGTAATTAATCATTGGTTTGGTATGGTAATTAACACACTTGTTTGTGTTTCTTGTTTGTCTGTTTTTTCCGAGAAAACTTCTGTCTGTTTCATTTGGCCAAAAATCGTCCCTGCCACAAACCACAACCGAGCATCATCATCATCATCAGCGTCTCCCCCTCTCCCTGCGGGTCGCAGGGGGCAGCATCGGCTGCAGCAGCTAACAGGAACTCTCGAAGAAGACTTCTCCTGCCTGTGAGGAGGCAAAGAAAAGACCGCAGACTTGTTCACAAACTGAGTGTTGTCCCATCCACGAAACAGAAGGTGGCGGTAATGCGAAGAATAGGCCGCCAACCGCCGGAAAACCAAACAAGAAGAAGAAGGACACGACACATTTGGGTGCGTCAGATATGAAAGAAGAAGAAAGACATTATGAGGAAAAGTTATCGGAAGAAGAAAGAAAGTGATTGTTGAAAGAAGAAGAAAGACATTGTGAGAAAGAGTTATCGGAAGAAGAAAGAAAGTGATTGTTTAAAGAAGAAGGAAAAAGACATGGAGACAAAGACATTGGACACTATGAGACAAAAGACATTGAAAGACGCCATGAGTAAAAGAAAGACATTAACGGACATTTGAGACGTGGCTGGCCTAAATGAGACACACAGAAGGTAAATATACAGACAGACAACAAACGCACAGAGACATATTAAGTCATATTTACACATTTAGGTCATTCGTTCATAACACCACATTTAGCTGCATGAAAAGAATACAGGACAATCGTTAAAATTAATTAGACTCTTGCTTTAGCATGAGACACAAGGAGATTAGAACAGCAGTATATTTAAAGTAGAGGAGCTCTATTATTGAAACTAGTATTATTTAAAGTTATAGACGCGGAGAAGTTTAGAATTATTGATTTTAACTGCATGATCTTGGTAATACGGATATTTAAAGCAGTGTTTTCAACCTCTGAACCGTGGCTCGTTAATTATTTAAAAATAGTCACATGCACAGTTGAAACTGGTGCTAGGAAGAGAACTGCACCTTTTAATGGACGTTGCATTTAGTACTAAATGGTTTGTTCAGACAATTAAAGTTTGAAAAAGGATTTAAAGCATTTCTGAATTTTGGCTAAAGGTGATATTGGATCATTTCTGATAACACAGACGCAACACTGTTCATTGGTTGAAAACACGGATGTAGGGACATTTTTTGAAATCTTTTATGACATGTTTCTCTTCCAAATAGCTAAATTAGAAACAATTAGGACAATTATGTCTTTGATAACTGTTGGCCGTTTATCTGAGACATGATTGGTGCAAGTACACACACATAAAACAATGGTCTTTTCTCCACATGAACGTGAAACAAAGGTGAAGTATTAAAGTTTGAAACTAATTTACATTTTTAAGGAATCCGAACTGGCTTTAAAAAAAAAAAAAGGGAAAAACATTTATTGCACGTGCATGAGTTTTTTTTTAAGTAACAAGAGCTCATTAAAAATATAGGGGACACAGTTTGTGACAAGCCCGAGTAAAGACCACGTGGTTTAAACACTAAAGTTTGAAATGGATCCTTTTAGGAAAAATCTCTCAAAGCTTTGCATGTTCTGCAGGCTCTGAAAGTTGCAACTATAAAATAGCTCATGAGACAATTGTAATTGGACATGGAAAAATATAACAAAGTTAAAATTACAGGCCTCTTGTGTATGTTATATGTTTGTGTATGTTATATGTTTGTGTATGTTATATGTTTGTGTATGTTATATGTTTGTGTGTGTTATATGTTTGTGCGTCATGTCCAATACACTACGTTGACCTTAACAAACTGGACCAATACTAACGTGGGGTGTTGTGAGTGTGTTGTGAGTGTGTTGTGGAGTGAACGAGGAGTGCTGAACGGAGAATGGAATAACAAAAGTTTTCTGTAAGGTTTTAATGTGATCATGGAATAATTATTTTTTGTCAACAGCATACGGTGTAAGTACTAGAGATTCAAAGATGACAAGCTTTATTGAACAGGTGTAAAAGTGAGAGTACTCTGGGATGAGTACTCTGAGAAAAGTACTCTGAGAAAGTACTCTGAGATGAATACCTTGCTGAAGGTACTGGGAGCCCCTCCCTCTGCTGTTTGTCCGGACAGGGATTCGGTCCAACCGCAGTGAGCGGTCATTGGGCGGAGGACAACTTTGGTTTGTAATTCACATTTAGGGGAGTATAAAATTAGAAACATACATATTGTTAAGTCTGTATTTGGCTACAGCCTCTGCCCTGATGTCACACACCGTCTGTCAATGCAGTTATGTTTTGCCCAATTGGATTGATTGACAGGCCGCACCATGCGAAGAGAGGAAAGTGGGCGTTTCTTGTGTTCTAATGTTTGTTTTTCAGATGAAAGATAAACTGCACCTGCTTCAGGGATAACACAGTAGTATGGATCATAAGGAAATGAGCCTCTACTTTGGCACCAAAGCCCACAATATGAATTGAGGACGATCCGGGAGGAGCAACAGGATTGGAACAGTAATCTACACACACATACAGATGCATGTTTTATACTTTGGACCACGACCAACAGAGGGGAGTATTGTATTGTCATAGGTGGTCATGGTCCTTAACCTTCTAAATCATTAGAAAGAAGTGTAAAAAATATATTTACAAGAACAAATAAATAATAGAAAGGGCAGCCTAAAAAAGCAAAATGGGAAAATTATTAAGTAATTTTCGGAGTTGCCAAAATGAAATAAAATTCTATATTTGTCCCATAGGGGGTCATTCTAAATTTAGTGTTGTGCAAATTTAAAAGGAGAAATAATAGCGCTTATAACATCAAACAGATCTACTCTTTAAGATAATAGATCATACAATAATAGAATAGAATGAAATAGTCTGGAGCTATAATGTCATTGGATTCGAGGAGCTATAGGTTGAAAGGTCGCTAGGAAGAGGTGTCAGAATAAACAATAGTAATAATAGTTAGACTAGTGAATAATCAAAATAGTTCTATTGTGGAAATAAGTATCAATAAGGTCAAATTGTTCTAATAACTAAAGTAAAAAGGAATCAAATGGAGTCAGATTTTAGATGTTTCTGTTTTCCACATCTGTAGGAACTGGTGCAGATGTGTTTATAGAGAGTAGTATTAAAATGCAGACATAGAACGACAGGCTTTAACACAATTTTAAATCTAAAAATAGCTCAAATATAACATTGCTCTTGATGCAGCCTCTGAGCTGCTCCATTGGAGAACAGGTTAAATGTTATTGTTTATTACAAACAGCTGATGTATTTACACATATTAAGTTTGGGACAACTCTTTAAACAGTTATAAGCAGCGGACAGAAGCCATGAATGTGCTTTTGTTTATTAAATAATTAATTTCATAGCCATATAATCGTAGAGAACGGTTTTAAAATAGTTCTCTTCCTCCCGCTCCCTTTTAGGCAAATTGAATAGATTCATGTTTTTAATATTGGAGAACGACTGTGTTGTTTTTGGAATTGTCTGAAATACAATACATAGAATAGTGATTTGCAGAACAAGAACCAGCCAATGAAAAATCGTCTATTGCCAATGCAATTGTTACAATCAGAACTCAAAAATTGGGAATATGCTTTGGCTCAAACTACAACCAAGATTTGGAGTCACAATAGAGTGTAAAATAGATAGATGCTTTCAAAAATAGAGATTATTTTTAGCCAAGGCTAATATCAAACGGTAAAAGGACCATTTCCTTCATATTATGTCCAAAAGTACTTCAAAGGTAGATAAAGTTCATTACAGTTTATGCACAGGTTTATTAGATACTGTCAAATTCGCTTGTTTCAAACATAGGTGAATGTTAACAATGCCAAAAGTTAATGAGATAGATTAGAAACAACAGAGATTCAAAAACATTTAAAAGCATTTTAATGTATTTGGGTATAGCACAAAAGTAGATATTTAGGTATTTTTTTAGAATTTTAAGAGCTGTCGACTTGTCAATATGGATTAGAAAATCGAATACCATGGTAGAGTAACTGACCCCAAAAACCTGCTAAAATAGATTAGCTCCTGTACGGATAATACCAATTTGATTAACGATGTACATTTATCCCAAACGGTCTGAGAGAAGGAAGTGACAGCACTTCCTGGTTCAACAAAATGTGTTTGGAAAAATGAGCAAAGCCCCACAAAATGGCCCAAAGCCACTGATAATGAAAGCAAACCACAGTATAGATAGATTTATTAGATAAAAACATATGTTTAAGAATATGGCTCAATAAAAGCAAAGATGCAAACATATTGGTAAATAGATTAGAATAGTTTAAACTATAGTGAATAGTTTTAGTGCATACATTACAGACGAGGTTGAAGAAGAATCAGAATGACAGCAGTGGTCATCGAAGAGTTTTGTGAAGGAATGTTTCGAATGTTGTTGTGTGTGTATTCTTTTTGTATTAATTCTTCACAGATAACGAGCCAGAACCAAGAACCAAGGCGATGATGGACGAGCTCCCCAGTCTCGGCACCCAGAAGGAATATTGAAAGATTGTGACCTAAATTGGTTTAATATAGGTCAACAGAGGGGAACTGTTGTATATTTTAATATTTGACCATTTGAACATCATAGCCAGAAAGACCTCCGTGCACTCAGGAAAAACCCCAAGGACACAGGATAATCAGACATGAGTCATAAAGATAAAATGCTGTTTAAACAGGGCGAATTATTAACTTTAAATAATAAACATTTTGACGAGGACAAGAGTTCAGAACCTGAATCTTGAGGCAGACTGGGAGATTCACCAATTGCATTCTGACGCCTCCCAGTGGATAGGGGACGTCAGCACATCCGGAAACTCCACCCCTTGGACGCATAAGGATGACGTCATCGGAAGTCTCCCTCATGAGCCCCTGTGTGTTTTTTTTGAGGTCAGACAGGACAGGGCACGGACAGGGGAAGAGCAGGCCTAGAATAGGAGCACTTTTGTTGAACATTCTGTATCTGATTGTAAAGATAATTAAATGCAGATGTTAAACGTGTAGATCTCTTGTCTCGCTCTTGCATCGATTTTGGATACGTCAGTCAAAGGGAATTATTGACTTCAGAACCGACCCGGACTCTGAGGAGCACAGGGACTGGACTCCTGTTAGTGCCCAGAGTCGGTACTAGACATGGGCAAACTGCATTTCAGATTCATGCGGCTAGAGTCTGGAACCGTCTTCCTGAGAATGTGAGACAGGCGTCTACTCTGGCATCTTTTAAATCTAGGCTCAAAACAATTCTGTTTAGCTGCGCATATACAACTGAATGATTTTATCTTTTCATCTTTGTTTTTATCTTTAATCTTTTTAATGCACTGTGACTATTTATGATTTTAGTCCCATCTGTGATTTTAATGTTTAAAGGTTTTTAATTTTTGTGATTTTATTTTTAATGTTTTTAATATATCTTGTGCTCTTAATGTGTTTGATTTATGCATGATGTGATAGGGGATGTGAAGCGCTTTGCGTTGCCTTGTGTAGGAAAGGCGCTCTACAAATAAACGTTGATTGATTGATTGATAACTGTGGTCCTCTGTGGTTCTTTTATATAACTGTGGTCCTCTGTGGTTCTTTTATATAACTGTGGTCCTCCATGGTTCTTTTATATAACTGTGGTCCTCTGTGGTTCTTTTATATAACTGTGGTCCTTCATGGTTCTTTTATATAACTGTGGTCCTCCATGGTTCTTTTATATAACTGTGGTCCTCCATGGTTCTTTTATATAACTGTGGTCCTCCATGGTTCTTTTATATAACTGTGGTCCTCTGTGGTTCTTTTATATAACTGTGGTCCTTCATGGTTCATCCTTTTCGTCCCTCATCCACCACTGTTTTCCAAGATGGGGCATTGACACGGATAGTCCTCAGGAAGTTAAAATCTAAGCCTATGAAAACAGTTTTAAGAACATGGTGGAGGTCACATGGTTGTTTTTAGTGAACATGTTTTTTCATATGGAGCAGCTGTAATTATGACACAGTGTGGATTTAACACTTAATAGTCAGTACCTCTTACCTTCATGGCAAACTTGCATTTCAAAGGTCATTTCATTTGGATGCACCGTCAGTGCCTCCAGATTAAGACTGTACTTGACTAAGCAGATTAATAAACCAAGTAATAAGAAAATGTTATGCATTTTTGTTAATTTGACCCTAGCCCTAACCCTTTGGACTTCATGGGTGGAAAACCTGAAATTGAAGCTGACACTGTAGTTAAAGCACACAGTTAAAGTTAGTTTATCTCAAATCCAGCGTCTTGATATCCTCTGTACGTGAGACTTTGTAAAACTTTCTCTTCCAGGAGCCCTTTGTTCCAGTTCTGTGTGACGTGTGGCCTCTCCGCCTTCGTGAAGCTGACCCGCTGCAGCCGCTGTCACGCTGTTTTCTTTTGCTCCGAAGCCTGTAAGATCAAGTCCTGGAAGGACGGACACAAGCAAATGTGCATCCAGCTATCGGCCAAGAGCGGTCCCAAAGCCTGCAGCCAGCGCAGGGCCCCAGGTAGGACAGCACTGCAGACAACAGCGAGACATGTTACCATCATCCTCATCAAAAACTCTTTATGCAAATTGTTTTGTAAAACTGCTCTTTGGCGGTCTGAGTGTTGCCGTGCACACTGCAAAATACAGTTACAGAAGTCATCACGCTCAGGGGCTTGGGGAAGACTGCGGTAGTCCTCTGAACACATCACCGTGGTGCGCACAAGCCAACAAATGTTTCTTCTAACTCTTTCTTTCTACAGCGTGGGACCACTGTATATGCACTTCAAGTTAGTAGCATCATGTTTTATTGACATTATCTAATTAAAGGGGATGTCTGCATCTTCACTTTCATAATAGTCTTGAACATATGTCCCTTCAGTATCATTTATATGAATTATTTTTCATTATATATACATTTAAAACAGTCCGTCCCCTTGGCACATCCACCACCAATAAGATTTACCAGAGGAGAGGGAGGGGCCTCAGCCAGACCTCCACAGGATCCTAGGATGAAGGAGCTACAGGATCCTCCTTCTACCTCCTTCTCCGAGCTCTTCCTCCTCTTCCTCCGAGCTCTTCCTCCTATAGCTCCTTCTCCGAGCTCTTCCTCCTTTTCCTCCGAGCTCTTCCTCCTATAGCTCCTCCTCCGAGCCCTTCCTCCTATAGCTCCTTCTCCGAGCTCTTCCTCCGAGCTCTTCCTCCTACCTCCTTCTCCGAGCTCCTTCATGGCGCTCTGTGACACACAGTGCTTGACACTCTGCTATAATTCTTGACTTTCGACCACGTGACCAAAACTGATGACGTAATCAGCGTCCGCCATGTTGGTGATACAGATTTGACAAATCAATGGAAGCATAGAATGTTTTGGTGTCAGGCTCATGGATCTATTATAATAACTGAGTGAACAAGCTTCAGACAAAGCAAGTGTGTGTTGACGAGTCAGTTGTTTTTGCTTAATAAAAATAATGTATTTGTAATTTTTGAGTTTAGCTTTGTTGTTTAATGTTTATGACGTCACTCTTTTATATATTGTATCTACAAATGCTGTTTGCTGATTGTTGTTTTATTCATTTTAAATCACCCATTTCCAGAGAGCGTGAGAAACAAATTTGAGAACTTGGTTTGTGGCTGAGAATGACAGAAACGTTAAGTTGGCGCACTGCAGCTGCATGGCTGGTCTTCATGAAGCTGTTTGTAGGAGCACTGTTGTTTGCAGTAGAAGGAGGGTTCAGTTCCCTGTACCCAGGAGAAGAGCAAGTGGGTCACACCAACCTAATGTCAAACAAGTGCCCTAGATTCCAATTTGTGAGATGGATTTTAAATCTGCAAAAACTAAACATAAACAACTTGTAGTAAACCAAACAAGTCCGGGAATCGATTAAAAACTACATTTGTCCTTGTCACGCTTGTTGTTAGCACAATGAAACACGGCACGATTGTGGCATTGCTTCAAAGACCTTAAATGATGCTTAAAAGACTCTAATGTGACGTTAGAGAGCGTGACCATACAGCTACAGCAGCTTTACCACCAACATGGCCGACACCCGGTAAGCTGACCTTCGTTTCACAGGATGTGACGTCACGTGAAAGTCAAGAATAAGGCGCTTCTAAACCAGAATGCTGATGGTCCATATGTTTGTTTTGTCTGAACAGACGCAGCACAGAGGAAGAGTCCGAGAGGAGCTAAAGAGGCTGTGAAGGCCCCACACAAAGCCAACATCCCCAAGTTTATACCGGAGCACAAGGTAGATGCTGTGCCGGGTCAGCCCAGAGAGAACTACAGCTTCATTTGAGCATCTGCACTGGTTTAGTCTGAACAGATGTTCAATATCCTCAAGTCAAATCCACCCCACACATTGATTAAAAGAACACTAAATAAAAACATTTGGAGCTGAACTTTGATGATGTTTATAACTTGACTAGACCTGGGTCTTTTAAACACTGTTAGACCCTAATTTATCCAGAATCTAACCCTAATCTAAAACCAGCTACTTTGAATAACTAATAACTGCGGAGGGTTAAAATACTTTGAAACACACATGGACTCTGGCTTTCCATTTACTGTTGTATGTCTTCAAAACACTTAAACAATTAATCACGCAAATAATACTTTTTTCATTATTAAGTGGAACAGTATTTTTTACTTTTTCTTCTAATAAATAATCACTGTAATTATTAATGTTTTTACAAATGTCAATCAACTTGAATATTACATCTATCGAACATTCAAGACAAAACTGTAGAGGTCTAAATTATGGCACACTATTTTTAAGTAAGAGGCAAAGATAAGTTACAAATAAAACATCTTCATTAAAGAATTTATCATCTTTCATTAGAGAAATATCTGCAGTCTTAAAGCACATGCCTTGTTTAGCTAAAATATGAACAAGAAAACTAAATGCTCCTGGATAAAGACACAGCACGTCCCAATCTTTTTCACATATGAGCTGCATTTATACATTTAAATAACTAACCATTTATCCTTTTTGGGTCATGGAGATAACATTTGATACTACCAAAAATAGCTGACTGATGGGCTTTATGAGCAGGAGAAGAACAAAGTTGTGGATGAACTATCCCATCCTCAGTGGCGCTCACGACTGACGCTTGGACGTCCAGGAGAGCAGAGATCTATGTGACGTTAACCGCTCACTTCATCACAGCAGACTGAGACGAAGAGTCCGGAGCTACAGGCCCCTCACAGGCACCCATCCTGTGCAGGACACAAGCAGTGGAGGAATGGAAGATAAAGAGGCCCAGTACTAATATCTAGTCACAACTGATAATGCCAAAAATCAAATAAGTGCAGTGAATGAGGCAGGACTGGGCCCACAGACAGGAGCTTTGGTGAATTTGGCATCACAGGATGGACCGCCTCCCTGGGAGAATCAGGAAGGTGGTTTCTACTTCCACCGAAGCACAACAGCTGCTAATGTGCTTAAGGGAGTTTGAAGGCAAGGCAAGTTTATTTATATAGCACAATTCATACACAAGGCAATTCAAAGTGCTGAACAAAACAAGAAAGCATTAAAATCATAAATTATCACAGAACATTAAAAAGAAAGATGAAAATATAAAATCCCTCAGTTGTATGCACAGTTAAACAGAACTGTCTTTAACCTGGTTTTAAACATTGTCAGAGAGGAGGCCTGTCTCACATCTTCAGGAAGACTGTTCCAGATTTTAGCAGCATGAATCTGAAAAGCAGCCTCCCCATGTTTAGTTCTGACTCTGGGCACTGACAGGAGTCCAGTCCCTGTGCTCCTCAGAGTCCCAGCAGGAGTCCAGTCCCTGTGCTCCTCAGAGTCCCAGCAGGAGTCCAGTCCCTGTGCTCCTCAGAGTCCCAGCAGGAGTCCAGTCCCTGTGCTCCTCAGAGTCCCAGCAGGAGTCCAGTCCCTGTGCTCCTCAGAGTCCCAGCAGGAGTCCAGTCCCTGTGCTCCTCAGAGTCCCAGCAGGAGTCCAGTCCCTGTGCTCCTCAGAGTCCCAGCAGGAGTCCAGTCCCTGTGCTCCTCAGAGTCCCAGCAGGAGTCCAGTCCCTGTGCTCCTCAGAGTCCGGGCTGGTTCATATGGTACTAACATGTCACTAATATATTTTGGTGCGAGGCCATGGAGAGACTTGTAACAAGCAGAGCTGTTTTAAAGTCTATTCTCTGGGCCACGGGAAGCCAGTGCAGAGACCTGAGGACCGGACTAATGTGGTCGTACTTCCTGGTTCTAGTCAGGACTAATGTGGTCGTACTTCCTGGTTCTAGTCAGGACTAATGTGGTCGTACTTCCTGGTTCTAGTCAGTACTAATGTGGTCGTACTTCCTGGTTCTAGTCAGGACTAATGTGGTCGTACTTCCTGGTTCTAGTCAGGACTAATGTGGTGGTACTTCCTGGTTCTAGTCAGGACTAATGTGGTCGTACTTCCTGGTTCTAGTCAGGACTGGAGCTGCTGCATTTTGAATGTACTGCAGCTGTTTTACAGCCTGTTTGGACAGACCTGTGAGCAGGCCATTGCAGTAGTCTAACCTACTGGAGACAAATGCATGGATAAGAATCTCCAAGTCTGCTTTAGACACTATGTTTTTGATCCTGGCAATGTTTTTTAGATGGTAAAAAGCTGCTGATGTTACTGATTTGATGTGGCTATTAAAATTTAAGTCTGAGTCCAGTATTACCCCTAGATTTCTGACCTTGTTTGAAGGTTTTAGGGAGAGAGACTGGAGGTGACAGATGACGCTCTCTCTTTGTTTCTGGGGACCAAAGACAATCATTTCAGTTTTGTCTGCGTTTAGCTGAAGGAAGTTGTTTTGCATCCACTCACTGATCTGTTGGATACAGTGAAGGAGTGAGTCCACTGGTCCATGTTCTCCTGCAGTCAGTGAGACATAGATCTGAGTGTCGTCTGCATAGTTATGATAGGAAACTTTGTTTCTGCGTATTAACTGACCTAACGGCAGCATGTAGAGATTGAACAGAAGAGGTCCCAGGATCGACCCCTGTGGGACTCCACAGGTCAGGGCCATATGATCTGAGACACAGTTTCCAATCTCCACAAAGTACTTCCTGTCTTCAAGGTAAGACCTAAACCAACTTAGGGCGGTGCCAGCGACGCCAACCCAGTCCTCTAGTCTCTGTAAGAGGATCTCATGGTCACGGTGTCAAAGGCAGCACTTAGATCTAACAAGATTAAGATTGAGACTTTGCCTGCGTCAGTGTTCAGCCGGATATCGTTTGTAACCTTAATGAGAGCAGTCTCAGTGCTGTGGTGGGGTCTAAAGCCGGACTGAAACATATCAAATGAGTTGTTGATTATAAGAAATCTAGTAAGCTGTAGGTAGACAACTTTCTCAAGGACTTTCCCCATAAATGGCAGATTTGAGATGGGACGATAGTTGTTAAGTACCGTAGCATCCAGACTGCTCTTTTTTAGCAGGGGCCTGATGACTGCAGTTTTCAGGGCCTTTGGGAATATTCCAGAATGAAGGGACATGTTTACTATCTGTGTGAGTGAAGGTAACAGACTGCTCAGAACAGACTTCAGAAATCTAGTGGGTAGTACATCCAAGCTGCATGTGGAGGAGCTCAAACTGGAGATTATCTCTTGGACAGTTTTATCATTTACAGGTGCAAAGTGAGTTAGCTCAAAGAGCCTTTCTGGCTGTTGGATGGTTATCTGTGGATTGGAGACAATGGCGCTTTTGATGCCTTGAACCTTGTCATTGAAAAAATTAGCAAACTCATTGCATTTACGTTTGGAAGTAAGCTCTAATGGCATTTGAACAGGGGGGTTTGTTAATCTATTAACTGTTGAAAACAGAACACGCAGATTGTTGCTGCAGCCTTCAATCATTTCAGAAAAATACCTTTCTCTCGTACTACGTAGCACCAGGTTAAACTCGCACAACTTATCTTTGAAGATCTCGTAATCTACCTGGAGGTTGGACTTGCGCCACTTCCGCTCGGCCCTCCGGCACTTTCTCTTTTGTGCCCTGACCGAGTCTGCTTTAGCCCACGGTGCCTTCTGCTTATTTTTCACTATTTTAACCTTCACAGGGGCAACGGTATCCAGAACATTCAAAACACTAGAGGTGACAGAGTTAAACAGTTCATCTACAGTAGAATACGATGCATTCTCAAAGTTTATCATTTCCATAAATAGTTCACTCGTATTTTCATTTATGCGCCTTCTTCGAACAGTTGCAGAGTCCACTGGTGGTTTGTTAGTGAAACACATGTAAAAAAAAACACAGAAATGATCCGAAAGAGCAACATTGACCACGTTTACATTATAAATGTTCGCCCCCTTTGTAACTAACAGATCTAGAGTGTGCCCTCTGCTGTGGGTGGGGCCACTTACGTGCTGAGTGAGATCAAAGGATTCAAGTACAGAACTCAGCTCTTTTGCATTTCTCTCATCAACATTATCCACATGAATATTAAAATAGCCTGTAATAACCAAACTATCAAAATCTGTGCATACAACTGAAAGCAACTCTGTAAAATTATCAATAAAACTGTGACATGACTGCGGTGGCTTGTATAGGACAACGAAGAGTATTGGAGGAGATTGTTTTTGTTGTATTTTAAAAGACACATATTCAAAAGACTGAAACTTCCCAAGAGACATTCTATGGGAGACAAAGTGGTCTCTGAAAATGGCAGCTAAGCCTCCTCCTTTTTTGTTTTCCCGTATTTCAGATTCAAACTTGAAATTTGGTGGTGATGCTTCTATTAAAACTGCATTTTCTGAATTTTGGTCAAGCCAAGTTTCAGCCATGAACATAAGATCAAGATTATGAGAACAAATAAAATTATTGATTAAAAAAGACTTGTTACAAAGAGATCTGACATTAAGCGTAGCAAGTTTCAAAGTTTCAGTATCAGCGGTTGTGGTCGGCTGTTTCTTACACGGAACAAGAATTGGATTTTCTAGATTAGACTGATTAACTTCAGATGTTTTTCTGTAATGTATTCTTTGTGTTATCACTAAGGGAATGGCACAGGTGGCTTCATGACAGGGCCCCAGCCGGGTCTCTCCTCTAACTAGACTGCCAGTGGCTGCGAAGCAGAGACCCTGTGCATCCTAGTGTTTAGAGAAAAGAGGGGAAGGGGAAGGCAGGGGAGGAGGATGGAGAGGTGGGTGGCTTTTGGGTGTTGAACGAGGGGGGCAGGGAGGTGGAGGGGTTTTAGGTGATGGGTTAGGGCCGGGGTGGGCTGAGGCAGAGGTTTTGGATGTTGAGCGAGGGGGAAGTGGGGGTGGAATGGTCATGAGGTTAGGGGAGGGACTGGCTGAGGTGGTTTTTGTAGGTGAATTGGAAACCCTAGGTGGTTTTGGAGGTACAAATGGGGAGTGGTTTAGAATGTTGGACAGGACTCTAGATCGAGCTAATATGGGTGTGAGAGGAATAGTCTTCATGACCGATTTTATTAGCCCTGCAGAGTGTTCAGGTAGGTCTAACAGTGAAGGCGGGGATGAAAAACAAAGGGAGGTGTCCCCACTCTCTCTTGATGGAGTGGACGTGGCAGAGGGGACCCAAGACAGGTCCATGGGAGGTGGCGAGGGAGTCTTTGATGGAGGGGCAGGTGGTTGAGGAAACCCCAGCACAGGCCTGTCTGCTGTAGCCTGGGGTGAGGATGGGGGCTTCAGAGGCGCTGTAGATGAAGAAGGCGTGGCTGCTTTGGAGCAGGCTGGGGATGAGGATGTTGGTGGTGGTGGTCGTGCTGCTGGTGCTGCTACTGGTGATGATGCAGCTGCTGCTGGTGATGATGCAGCTGCTGCTGGTGATGATGCAGCTGCTTCTGATGACAGTGGAGGTGTTGAGATCCTTTGAGGCGGTGATGGTGTTGAGATCCTTTGAGGCGGTGATGGTGTTGAGATCCTTCGAGGTGGTGGTGGTGGTGTTGAGATCCTTCGAGGTGGTGGTGGTGTTGAGATCCTTCGAGGTGGTGGTGGTGTTGAGATCCTTCGAGGTGGTGGTGGTGTTGAGGTCCTTCGAGGTGGTGGAGGTGCAGAGACTTTTGGAGTTGGCTTCCTCCCTTTCGATGGCTGCACGCACTGCGCAGGCTGAGGTCTCAGGGCAAAAGAAAGGTTATCCATCAACACTTTTACTCCGTAAGTGTTCAGATGTGGCCCTTTCCCTTCAAAAAGCTCATGCCTATTCCAGAACAGATTAAAATTCTCAATGAAGGCAAGTCCTCTGCGTGAACATTCGTTGAGTAGGAAAGTATTTAGCTGATACAGACGACTGAATTTCATTTGCTTCCCGTCCACATTTGGTAGTGGGCCACTGATAACGATTGTTGTCCATTTTAGCAAGGTCGTCCAATAAGAGAGAGTAATCCCGTTTCAACTTTTCACTTGTGTTGTCATAGACGTCTACTGCCCCCACGTGGATCAACAATCTTTTTACCCCGCCGGTCTCAGACAGAAGCCTCGGAGCCAACCGCCTTATCTCATCCACTTTAGCAGAGTGTACTGAGTGAACCTTGAGATTACGCATGTTTACATTTCTTATCGCCGAATCCCCGATAAAGAGCGACTCAGCTGCATTTGACCTTGACTGAGACTGAGACTGGGACTGAGAGACTACTGCTGATTCATCTTACAAAAGTGGTGAAAAGCGGTTTCTTGTAATTAAAGATTTTTGCTGTGGCATTATGACACTCTTGTTATCATTAGCTTTGCCTTGTTTGGGCTTGGCACCATATGTGTTCCAACAATTGTCTCTGTTGATTTTGGGAAATGAAATAGCGTCATCATAACTTACGTTCTGTCCATTTGGTCCATTTCCTTTCACTGGTATTGTTGTGTTCAGCCCCAACTCTGATTCAAGCACAAACATTCGCTCTTGAAGAAGTTTTAGCTCCTGTTTGAGTGAAAAACAGCCGTCGCAAAGTTTTGTTCTTTTTTCCCGTCCTCCCGACATGCTGTAAGTTAGGTAAATTCCACAAGTCTTGTGTTGAAGTTTGTAAAAAGGAGTAATCCGTGTTTTGTGGAATAAAAATGTAAGCAAAAATTATTAAAGGAGATAAAAAAGCAGCAAGCGAGGAGCAGCAAGAGAATGCGACTGCTCTGTCCAGAGCAGGAAGTGTTCTGCCATCCACTTTGGCAGAACACTTTGGCAGAACACTTTGAGTTTGAGTGGAAAACTAAAGTCCGATTTTTCAGAACCCCCTTCATCACATCTAAATTTGGTAGGTAAGTGTTGGAGGGACTGCGGTCTTGTTGGAGACCAAACACATATTTTGGGACTGCCCAAAGTTGTCTAACGTCTGGAAAGCCATACAATGTGAAATTGAAAAATGTCTGCACATGAAAAATGTCTGCACATCAAAATCACACTGGAGTCAACTTCAGCATTATTATGAGTATTTAAAAAGGAAATCAAATCAAAATGTGAAATTTATCTACTGAAGATTCTGCGTCTGGAAACACTACTGCTCTGTGATTGTGAAATGCTCTGTCTATGGAGCCACACCCATGATCTGAACACAAACCCTCTGTTTGAAATGTTTTATTAGCTATTAGCTCTTACAAAAATATGACAAAACAAACTAAAAAGAAATAAATACTCCCATTTTTTCAACTTATTTTCATTTGAAAGTCCATTATAATACAATTGGAAGAGCGATGGATGTGTGAGGCGTTCTGAAGGCGTCCCGTCCTGAAACTCTACAATATTCACACTCACAGATTCTTGTCCATTTTTCCATTTCTCATGACAGTGGATGGACACGAGTTGTTCCACACGAGGACTTCACCTTTGTAAAAACTCATTCTAATGATTCTAATACTAGTTTTTATGCATCAGTAGTGCCCTTTTATGCATTGGTTCCACTTCCCAAAGTACTGTCTGTACATATCAGTTTCACAGCTCCTTATTGCAGTACAAAGCAAAAGTAAAAGGCAAAATATTTGAAGAGAAACATAAGAAACATTAAATATTGCACAAATATGAACAAAGTCACAGCCGTCGTTTTTTACCCAAATGTTCAGAGCCAAGACAACATTAAGAAATGAAAAGTTCCCTTTCTGCACATTCATTTACTTAAAAACGTGAATTTCTTAAACGCGATATTTCATCATTTGCAAAGTGAAATCGTGAAGATAATTATGAGACAAGATGATTCAAGAAATAATCTGGTGGAAACACATGTTATGGATATCATAGTAACATCTAACGTGACAGTGTTTGTAAAGAGACTTTGGGCAGAAGGAGCAGGGAAAGACTTAAGGATCTCTTATTGTTACAGTAAATTGACATTAGGGCTGCAATTAATGATCATTTTGAAAACTGGCCGCAAAAGATCAGTGATTATGGGACTTTTTTTCCAACACTTTATAGAGACAACTTGATTAAAAATACTTAACACAAATTTTAATGTAATTCTGCAGTCATTATGGAATTACCTTTAAGTCTATGGAAGGTTCAAACAAGGATGAATACATTACTAAATTGGTTGACAACTTTTGTGATTAGGCCTGTAACAACTGAATTGCTTAATCGCTGAGAGATGTATATTCTGATTTTTAGGTCACAGTTTTAATGCCGCAGGTGTGGGAAGTGAAGTAAAGTGATTTATCCATATTGTTAGCAAAGAGAAATAGGAAAATATACTTAAATAATAAATAATAATTAATTTATTATTATAAATTAAAATAAACTTTGTGCCCACGATTTAACAGAACTCCACGGTCTTCTTTCCGCAGTGCACGGACAGTGGCTCTGATAGAACAGGCTGAAAGGGACTGAACCTAACCAACTTTTAACACACGGTTGAGACTGAATATATCTGTTCGCACACAACAATGGTCACTGGGCCGAGTTTGGCGGAGGGTCTCTCTACCGCAGGTTTCAACCCCGTCCTCGAAGGGTGGAGTCTGGTGAGCTCGTGCAGAGGTTAGAACTAAAACCTGCAGCTACACCAGCGTCTAAATCTATGACAAGATGTGTTGTATAATTTGATCCACGCATTTGTCACCACAAGAGAGAAAACGGAGCACTGCAATCTCAAAACGGCAGACGTCTGCTGGGTCCTAAAGGGTCAAAAAGCCATCGGAGGCAGAGCGTTTAGCTCCCAAGCTCCTTTACTGTCCACGTCAAAGAAGACACAGCCTCCAAATCCAACACAAGGCTTAAGTCTTTAATTCACCTGCATATGGAGAGACTGCAGGGGAACCATGGCCTCGGCCTTTGATCTACGGCCTGGACCCTGGATCTGGAAAGCCTGTCTGTCCGTGGGGTCCCTCTCTAAATGTGGTTCTCTCCAACATTTCCCCTTTTTCCCACTGGGTTTTGTTGAGTTGTTCCTTTCTGATGCAGGAGGATCAAAGGACATTGGTGATGATCTAGAACATTTAAGGACATTTATGGACTAATGTTCTATGTGTTTTTTGTCATTGCATTTCCTGTGTTTGAACCATAGACTAAATATTAACGGATGTAGTCATGCCTATCTCCGCCGTTCTAACTAATGTGCCGCAGCTGCCGCGGTCTATGGGCAGTTTCAAAATGGCCGCGGGGGCTGGATATTGTGAAAAAACACATCTGTGCATGCGTCAGCTGCACGAGTCCCATTCATTTAAACGAGAGACTTCTAAAGTCCACAGCGACTAAACTAGACTGGCCCAGAACACTCAGCATTGACACACATGTGGAACGGAGCTTTGGGCCAAGAGACACTTTTGGACCATCCTGTAAAGACGTTTTCCAGAGGTAAGAAGATGCTATATGTTAGCATTGGCTAATTGTTATTCCGGGTGCACCCCCACAGGCCCGGGGTGGTACTGCAGCATGTCAGCGCACGTCATTTTGGCCACTTTTGAGCTGGGACCCTCCCACATTGGTCTGAACTGTTTCTTCTGAGATAATACTGCTGTGATTTAGGGCTATTCAAAAATAAATGGAATTGAATTTGAACAATTGTTGTTTAATTCGCTTTTTTAAAGTCTTCCATGACATTATGCAAGAACATAGTTGTTACTTTTACTCAGAACACTTATGCAGAAAAGAGGTGCATATAACTTTACGCTTAACTTAAATCGCTCGTATTGTGTTTGAGGGATCAAAATACACAAAGACGCTCTATACTTTTCTCAGTCGTTTTCCACCACTGCCCCTTCTACACAGCCACAGACACTGACTTTAAATGAATCATTCAAATACAGAGGTTTGCTTGGACACAATGCATAGAGTTGGACAATCAGGGAAACACTGTTCTAAAAGTCCTAATAATACGCTTGTTATTGCAAAAAATCACTGTGTGCAATGACAATGCATAGATCATGTAAAGTCTTGCTCCAAAGTCTACAGTGAGAAATGGCCTCTAAAAGTCAAAAGAAATATGCCCCAATTCCAAACACACAAACACTGTAAGTAAAAATATAACTTTGGTAAGAAGTAAATCAGCCTTAAGCAGTAAGTGTATAAAAAATAAGGCAAAACCATAAATGGCTGCAAAAATAAGTAACAATAGAATAGGAGTGATGGTAAAAAAGCAAAATGGGGCGGTTCCAGAGAAACCAAAGCAGCGATGGGTATTGCTCAGAAAAACACTGAAGAACAGGAGAATACTGTACATTTCAGAAATATTCTATATTTGCAGATGTGCCATAGTCACGCTCCTCGGGGGTGCATTTAAAATCTATTTGGTCAAAGTCCAAACATCTATTTTTAGAAGGATTTATCCCATTTGAAGGTATCTTTAAACTTTAAAACCAAATGAAATGAACTCAGGAACAGTTTGATTCCATCGACCGTCTGAAACTATTGAACTGTCTTCAATGGTATCTTCTGAAATGAGCCTTATCTCCCAGAGTGTGAACTCTAAAGCCCCTCGAGCCTCCCAGAGTGTGAACTCTAAAGCCCCTCGAGCCTCCCAGAGTGTGAACTCTAAAGTCTCTCGAGCCTCCCAGAGTGTGAACTCTAAAGTCTCTCGAGCCTCCCAGAGTGTGAACTCTGAAGTCCCTCGAGCCTCCCAGAGTGTGAACTCTAAAGTCTCTCGAGCCTCCCAGAGTGTGAACTCTGAAGTCCCTCGAGCCACCCAGAGTGTGAACTCTGAAGTCTCTCGAGCCTCCCAGAGTGTGAACTCTAAAGTCTCTCGAGCCTCCCAGAGTGTGAACTCTGAAGTCCCTCGAGCCACCCAGAGTGTGAACTCTAAAGCCCCTCGAGCCTCCCAGAGTGTGAACTCTAAAGCCCCTCGAGCCTCCCAGAGTGTGAACTCTAAAGCCCCTCGAGCCTCCCAGAGTGTGAACTCTAAAGCCCCTCGAGCCTCCCAGAGTGTGAACTCTAAAGTCTCTCGAGCCTCCTAGAGTGTGAACTCTAAAGCCCCTCGAGCCTCCCAGAGTGTGAACTCTAAAGCCCCTCGAGCCTCCCAGAGTGTGAACTCTAAAGTCTCTCGAGCCTCCTAGAGTGTGAACTCTAAAGCCCCTCGAGCCTCCCAGAGTGTGAACTCTAAAGCCCCTCGAGCCTCCCAGAGTGTGAACTCTAAAGCCCCTCGAGCCTCCCAGAGTGTGAACTCTAAAGTCTCTCGAGCCACCCAGAGTGTGAACTCTAAAGTCTCTCGAGCCTCCTGCACCTAAGCTTTGAGAATAAAGCTGCTCATTTCTGTTCACATCAGTATCGCAGTGTGGCGAGGTGTGACATCACAGATCTCTCCAACGAGACGTTCAGAAGAGCTTCAGGAAGTCACCTTTCACTTCATTTCAGATTTTCCAACAAAAGAGGCATAAAGTGTGTTTGTTTTCCTTTTTTTAACAGCACATATTCTGCAGTATCTGTTACAACCATCGACAGGAGTGAACTGTCAGAGCTTTGAGCATAAGCTCCTTTCCTTATATGGGCATTAGTTTTGCATGAGCGTTGTTTCGTAACAGGAAGATGTGTTGCTAAGATAGTTGTTAGGAAGCTGGACTTGGTCAATGCTTATGGCTCATGTCTGGATTTACAGAGAGCGCTAAACACAAACGGTTACTGAGCTGGAGTTTATTTTTCTAAGTAAGAGCCAGAGCGAGTTTGCAAAAAATACTGCTGAAATGTAATTCTTTGAGTGTGCCCCTAATAAAGTAATCTGCCTGTTGAGTACTTCATACTTTTCCTTCAGTTGGTACCTAAGTACTCTTGCCAGCCCTCACCTTGGTCCTTCAGTTCCAGACCTGGTTGTAACTGATATTACTGTAGAACCCAACCCTTCTTTACCTTTATCCACCAAGAAAGTCCCACTGAGGGCAGTACTGGGACAGAGGACAGGAGTGGGACAGAGGACAGTACTGGGACAGAGGACAGGAGTGGGCAGCGAACCACACTCCTGTCCTCTGAAACACAGTTTATTTTATCTTGTTTCCAAAAACGTCAAATCATGTTCTTTACACCTTTGTGCCTTCAGTCCCACTTCTCCCACTACAGTCGATGAGTCCAGTTTCTAAAAGATGAAGAATGAACTGAAATAAGGCCCCGTTCTTTGGAATAAGACCAAAGCTGCTCCTCAGTCTGCTGTTCATCTGAAGCTCTTCTGAACGTGTGGTCATAGGGCACAGAACCCTTGGACCACTGTGAGGTCGGTGAAGGAGCCTCAGCTGTTCCCCGTGTCCAGAGGAACCTCGGCTCATGCAGCTCGTGTGTGTTGCGCTGGGGAGGATTGTGCAGATGTTCTTTTGTTTTTCTGTCTCAAAAAGTCTGAGCATCACAGAGGAAAAGGTGTCTCCTCCTGGCTTCGTAGTGTCACCACGACCACCGCAGAGCGCCGGCCCACTACATGCACACACCCAGTTTATATTTCACACCAGTGAGTTCAGAACGTTTAGGGCCTTTTTTTGGCCCGAAGATTGGCACCTACTAAAAAGCTGATCTAGAAACCTGGTGTTATTCAAATATAAAAGACGCTCACAGGAGCCTCTGTCTGATTCTGGATCGAGGACATAGGGCTCTCTGTGACGGGTTGCCATTGTTGGAAGAAATATTCTCAGGTGTGAAATTACTATGTAACAGCAAAAACTGTACAGTTAGCTTTTGTTTACCTCAAAATTAGCATGATGCTACGTTACGGCGCGAGTGTGTGTGCTCACAGGCAGAGGAGCTTCACATCCGAGGTGAAATCACCTCTATGCTCGAAATGACTATGATTTGACAAGTTTTAGTGTTGTATGGTGAATCACCCAAATGATTCCAAATGATTTACACACATGTGCAGAGGATGGACTGTGAAAAATGAAGAAAAGCGAAACATGGCACCTTTAAGCTTCCTAAATCTCATTTTTAGTTAAATGGGCCTTTTTGTTAAAACCAAGTTTGTCATTCTATAATGTTTAACCATTCTACCCCAGGTGCTCTGGAGAAAAGAGGCAACGATGTGAAGGAGTGTCTGAGGATAGACAGATGGATAGATAGATAGATAGATAGATAGATAGATAGATAGAGGGATAGAAGGATAGATAGATAGATAGATAGATGGATAGATGGATAGAGGGATAGATACAGTAGATAGAGGGATAGATAGATAGACAGATACAGTAGATAGAGGGATAGATAGATAGACAGATAGATGGATGCTACGGGACATTTATGCATTTGCTTATTCTCTGGGGTTAAACTTGATTAATCTGTCCTTTCTGTTCCATGACCGTTTGATTTTCGAAAATTAAAGTCTTTTGAGACTACTACTGTTCTGATTTTGGGATGTACTAAAATCCATATATAAATCAAAGCGTGTGTGCATGTAGCCGGGCCCGTGTAAGCGTCTACAGCTCTGCAGAGTGGCCGTTCTCCGTCCCATTGGACCTGGGTGAGGGGATCTCCTCTGGGATTCCATTCAGATCGGCCCTGGAGCCTCCGTTCACACACGCTCCGTCCGACTTGCCGAAGTGGAAGAGCTTCCCTGGGTTGAAGGCCTTGCTGGGTGATTGAGAGCGCTCCGTCACTGCACTGCTACTTGCTGCTGCTGCTGCTGCTGCCGCTGCTGCTGCTGCTGCTGATGAAGAAGAAGAAGAAGACGTGTTTGTACCGAGAGCACTCGCAGACACTCCGCTCACACTTTCCTTTTTATTCTCTGGAGATTTTAAAAACTTGAAGCTGAGAAATCCAGGCAGTTTGGGTTCGCTTCCCGTGGGCGACTGTGGAGAGCGCGCCCCCCGGTTCTGTAACGGCATGATCTGTTTGAGCTTCATCACGTTGTTGTTGGCCAGAAGTGAGCTGGGTCTCTTGGGTTTTGGGTCGGTGGTGCTGCCAGCGGAGCCGGGCCTGGACTTGCTGCTGCTGTGGTTCTTGTCGTGGTGGTGCTCCCCGGCGTTGGAGGCCTCAGGTTTGGGCTCGTCGCGCTCCCTCTCCCTGGTGCGTGTCTGGTGCTCGGCTTGGCGTTGGCGGTCCTCCTCCTCCCGCTTCCTCCGCTGCAGCTGCTGGTAGTGCTGCTGCGCCTGCCGCTCATGCTTCTGCAGACACACACGGTCACATGGTTTCCACATATCTGAAACATCTGAGATCTCACCTTCTTTCTAAAATTATGCAAAGGAAACATTCTACAAAATGATTGATGGTGGTTGGATGGCATCGATTAGTAGCCTCCCTTCTGTCATTCTGACCTAGGGCAGCTGTGGCTACAGTGTACCTTTCCACCGCCATGTACGGGGCGAATGAAAAGTGCCATGAGAAGCATCTTTGAGTGTCCAAATATTTAAAAACAATGCATTATCCTTATTTTACAACTGGACTCCCATTCCTTGAAAAGGGCAACAGGACAGTCTGAGGTGAACAGCCGCGAACGCTCCGGAGGCGGCAAAGAAACTTGAATCTGCTCCCACAGTTTACTCAGGTCTACTTTAGACCAGTGGGGCTTAGACCAGTGGGGCTTAGACCAGTGGGGCTTAGACCAGTGGGGTTTAGACCAGTGGGGTTTAGACCAGTGGGGCTTAGACCAGTGGGGTTTAGACCAGTGGGGCTTAGACCAGTGGGGTTTAGACCAGTGGGGTTTAGACCAGTGGGGTTTAGACCAGTGGGGTTTAGACCAGTGGGGTTTAGACCAGTGGGACTGGAACTGTGCAGGTAATACTGTATCAGTTCAATTCAATCCAATGTATTTTTGTATTCACTGCACTATGGCGTCATGGATAGAGCTGTTTTCTGCCCATTAATTCAACATATTTGCCTGAAAATGATTCTTTTATGTCTCTAGGAAGATGGGACCATTTTTATATCCATGTTTCATCTGTATATATTTTCAGACCGCCACATTATTAACATTATATCCTCTGTGTAGAAAAGAGCCTGGCTGATCGCTGATGAGTGAGTGAGAGGCCAAAATACAAACATGACTGCTTTAGCTTTCAAAACAGTTTAGTCCCCACATAGATTTTATGTCAAGAAATTGTTGACATAAATTGGTTTTGTGTGTCACCTTGAAAGCCTCTCTGCGCTGAAAGTCCAGTTTGGCCATCTCCTCCTTGACCCACGCTGGGACGTCCGGGATGGTGACATGGAGGACGTACTTCAGAAGGAAGGCAAAGTGCTGCACACAAAGAATAAACATGTGGCTGTCCAAGTTAGAAATCTCCATGGTTGTTGAAAGATCCATGCAGTCCCTCATCCTGCACACACTCACACAGATGCCAGAACATATGATCCTGTCCATCTGCTACACACAGATGAGTTAATCTGAGTAATAGTATTTTTAAGTTGGAACAATCTCCAGCGACCCAAGATGTCTGCCATTCAAAACAATGGCCAGCACTCATTGGACCATGGTTCACCCACATATCCTGGTGATTGGACTCTGCAGTGACGTGGGTGGACTACCATGATGAAGACATACTTAAACATGCAGTACCCTATCTGTGTAATATCATACATCCATAAGTTTGAATACACGCATTCGAAACAGCACAATAGAAACTAATCGTGGAATTTCCCTCTCGATAATCCCATGCACCCACGTTCCGAACGCTGAAGTATTTGAACTCCACTTCCAGCAGTAGATGGTGGTGTTTCTGACTGCTAATTTACACATCACGCGTTACAGCACGTACGCGTTATACGCGCAGCAGACGCGCGTAACTTTTTTCCATGTTAACCTATGATGATATTTACACTTCTAGCGTTATACGTGTGTATGACGGACGTATGACGGACGTATGACGGACGTATGACGGACGTATGACGGACATGTGACGCGAAGCTGCGCTCTAATTTAGGATGGATTTCTAATTTTGTGCGCGCACCAACGCGTCTCCCATTGAAATCTCATGTAAAACATTATTTTTCTAGCGATCCTTGGCTTTAGATCACATCTGCACACACACACACACACACACACACACACACACACACACACACACACACACACACACACACACACACACACACACACACACACACACACACACACACAGCACTTGTGTCTAAACATCAGCAGGAGGAGCAGCAGGTTTTACAGTGATTCTGGACATTTTTTTTTCTTTCATAAAGTCTGGCGTCTGGTCAAACCAGCAACAGAGACCATGAAGACAAACACATGTGGTTTGTGTTGCTCTACATCAGTCTCTGTACTGTCCTCTACACTGCTCCACAGACTACACAGGGACAGCATCAGTCTCTGTACTGTCCTCTACACTGCTCCATAGACTACACAGGGACAGCATCAGTCTCTGTACTGTCCTCTACACTGCTCCACAGACTACACAGGGACAGCATCAGTCTCTGTACTGTCCTCTACACTGCTCCATAGACTACACAGGGACAGCATCAGTCTCTGTACTGTCCTCTACACTGCTCCATAGTCTACACAGGGACAGCATCAGTCTCTGTACTGTCCTCTACACTGCTCCATAGTCTACACAGGGACAGCATCAGTCTCTGTACTGTCCTCTACACTGCTCCACAGACTACACAGGGACAGCATCAGTCTCTGTACTGTCCTCTACACTGCTCCACAGACTACACAGGGACAGCATCAGTCTCTGTACTGTCCTCTACACTGCTCCACAGACTACACAGGGACAGCATCAGTCTCTGTACTGTCCTCTGCACTGCTCCATAGACTACACAGGGACAGCATCAGTCTCTGTACTGTCCTCTACACTGCTCCATAGACTACACAGGGACAGCATCAGTCTCTGTACTGTCCTCTGCACTGCTCCATAGTCTACACAGGGACAGCATCAGTCTCTGTACTGTCCTCTACACTGCTCCATAGACACACACAGGGACAGCATCAGTCTCTGTACTGTCCTCTACACTGCTCCATAGACTACACAGGGACAGCATCAGTCTCTGTACTGTCCTCTACACTGCTCCATAGACTACACAGGGACAGCATCAGTCTCTGTACTGTCCTCTACACTGCTCCACAGACTACACAGGGACAGCATCAGTCTCTGTACTGTCCTCTACACTGCTCCATAGACTACACAGGGACAGCATCAGTCTCTGTACTGTCCTCTACACTGCTCCATAGACTACACAGGGACAGCATCAGTCTCTGTACTGTCCTCTACACTGCTCCACAGACTACACAGGGACAGCATCAGTCTCTGTACTGTCCTCTACACTGCTCCATAGACTACACAGGGACAGCATCAGTCTCTGTACTGTCCTCTACACTGCTCCATAGACTACACAGGGACAGCATCAGTCTCTGTACTGTCCTCTGCACTGCTCCATAGACTACACAGGGACAGCATCAGTCTCTGTACTGTCCTCTACACTGCTCCATAGACACACACAGGGACAGCATCAGTCTCTGTACTGTCCTCTACACTGCTCCATAGACTACACTGGGACAGCATCAGTCTCTGTACTGTCCTCTACACTGCTCCATAGACTACACAGGGACAGCATCAGTCTCTGTACTGTCCTCTACACTGCTCCATAGACTACACAGAGACAGCATCAGTCTCTGTACTGTCCTCTACACTGCTCCATAGACTACACAGGGACAGCATCAGTCTCTGTACTGTCCTCTGCACTGCTCCATAGACTACACAGGGACAGCATCAGTCTCTGTACTGTCCTCTACACTGCTCCATAGACTACACAGGGAGAGCATCAGTCTCTGTACTGTCCTCTACACTGCTCCACAGACTACACAGGGACAGCATCAGTCTCTGTACTGTCCTCTGCACTGCTCCATAGACTACACAGGGACAGCATCAGTCTCTGTACTGTCCTCTACACTGCTCCACAGACTACACAGGGACAGCATCAGTCTCTGTACTGTCCTCTGCACTGCTCCATAGACTACACAGGGACAGCATCAGTCTCTGTACTGTCCTCTGCACTGCTCCATAGACTACACAGGGACAGCATCAGTCTCTGTACTGTCCTCTACACTGCTCCATAGACTACACAGGGACAGCATCAGTCTCTGTACTGTCCTCTGCACTGCTCCATAGACTACACAGGGACAGCATCAGTCTCTGTACTGTCCTCTACACTGCTCCATAGACTACACAGGGACAGCATCAGTCTCTGTACTGTCCTCTGCACTGCTCCATAGACTACACAGGGACAGCATCAGTCTCTGTACTGTCCTCTACACTGCTCCATAGACTACACAGGGACAGCATCAGTCTCTGTACTGTCCTCTGCACTGCTCCATAGACTACACAGGGACAGCATCAGTCTCTGTACTGTCCTCTGCACTGCTCCATAGACTACACAGGGACAGCATCAGTCTCTGTACTGTCCTCTACACTGCTCCATAGACTACACAGAGACAGCATCAGTCTCTGTACTGTCCTCTACACTGCTCCACAGACTACACAGAGACAGCATCAGTCTCTGTACTGTCCTCTACACTGCTCCATAGACTACACAGGGACAGCATCAGTCTCTGTACTGTCCTCTACACTGCTCCATAGACTACACAGGGACAGCATCAGTCTCTGTACTGTCCTCTGCACTGCTCCACAGACTACACAGGGACAGCATCAGTCTCTGTACTGTCCTCTACACTGCTCCATAGACTACACAGGGACAGCATCAGTCTCTGTACTGTCCTCTACACTGCTCCACAGACTACACAGGGACAGCATCAGTCTCTGTACTGTCCTCTACACTGCTCCATAGACTACACAGGGACAGCATCAGTCTCTGTACTGTCCTCTACACTGCTCCATAGACTACACAGGGACAGCATCAGTCTCTGTACTGTCCTCTACACTGCTCCATAGACTACACAGGGAGAGCATCAGTCTCTGTACTGTCCTCTACACTGCTCCATAGACTACACAGGGACAGCATCAGAAGGACCTGCACACGGCCTGTGTAGATACTCCAAAAAATGTTACGCGCAGAGAGCGCGCAGTAAACGCGTACGCGCTGTTTACGCCTACTGCGTAAATTCCCCGTTAGAGGTTATACGACTTGACAGCGTATGTAAAGCAATGTTTACACCCAGGCATAATGAAGTGAAGAAAATACAAAAATAAAACAAAACTGATTTTTTGTTGGTTAACAAAATACAGAAAGTACAAAGCAGGGCACACTTGGATGTGTGGAGCGGTGTCTGTTTATCCTCGTGGGGACGTGTTCTTCAGTGTTCAGAAGTTTATTGTCTAGTATCGATGTGTCCCTCAATTGGTTTAACACGGAGCTCTCTTCTCCACAAAACTCTCTGTGGCTTCTGCCGACAGTGGCTCAGGTATCCCAGCATCCCATCCTCTAGTTTCTATTCATATCCAACCGAGGATATGTTTACATTAGCTTGCATTTGCTCTGGTCTAACTGTCACCTCTGTTCTAGCCTGGTCTTACCAAACCATTGTACTCATTTCATTTCCTACTAAGGTCTGGATTGTCTCCATTGACTCCGTTAACAGGTGGGAGGGGTTAACTCCTTTTGCAGATTGAAACCATTGGATCTGAGTTTACTGTGACGTATGTAATGAGCCCGAGTGAGTGAGGCATTTAGCATTTAGCCTAGCTTTAGCATTTAGTCTCGCTTTAGCATTTAGCCTAGCTTTAGCCATCTCCTTTGCCGCTAACAAAGCCTGTGGGGAAAAGAGCCACAACATCTTTCCCAGCTAAAGTTTGCTAAACATTCCTCTTTGTCCGGCTCCAATATCTCTATATTTGGGAGCTGAACCAGGATTACTTTACTATCGCATTCTCCGCCGCCACAGTCAAACTACAACCAGACAATTCTGCGCAAACTCTTGACGTCACTGACACCGACCTACAACACCCGCCTCCCGCGCTCTCTGATTGGTCGGGTGGGATACAACGGAGAAACCGCAGCCACTAGGATCAGACCCAGTCCTAGTGAGATTATAATTGGCAGGAGTTTACGGAGGGCTAAGGCCAGGCTACATCTCATCCTCTTCACCCATATTTCTCTGATCTCCTTCAAAGCGGTTCTCACTCTTTGCAGTCTGTATATTTTTTGCATGCTCCTTATTTACCAATATCTTACATTTAGCCCCGATCAAGCCTGTTGTTGTTCAGTCAAACCTTTATAATCTGCTGTTTAAACTAGACCACAGCCACAATCTACATTAAAACATTTTATGATCCAAAAGCTGATTGCCCAGTTTCCCAATCTGTCAAGTCTATGCCTACAGCTTTAATATATACAACGTCAGTATAATCAGATGTCACACAGCCAGCATAATAAAGCTAATATGTTGTTTTTAATGAACAGACAGAGACAGAGTTACCTCGAGGATGACGATGGAGATGATGGCCATTTCAGGGCTGAGCCAGGGGAAGAGCCGCTGCAGCTGACCACACTGACCGATCAGGTAACAGTTCACCATGATGGCCACCAGACCCATCACTTCCATCGCCGTCTGAGGGACACAGCACGGTTACCATGGTAATTCTCAATGCAAATGGAAGTTGATTCTGTCTTCTTATGTTTAAGGCTTTGAAGGTTCTTTTAATAAGACATTTTGTCTTATTTTTTCTTATTAAAAGAACCTTCAAAGCCTTAATTCTCAATACAAGCTTCACTATGTACAGAGTTCATTTTTTTTATGGCTTTAAAGTTAAGTACATCAGCTTTAAGGACAGCGTTTGTTAGGGGTATGGTCAGAGCAATGGTGCATGTGGACTGGAGCGGGAACAAGACGAGACATGAATGACTCTGATGAGAGACTTTTAAAGTCAGGTCAGAACTTGAGTAGATCATAAGTTGACTTTTCCCCCAATCTCCCAATCCCCCGCTCATGGATGATTCTGCAGAGGCCTCTGCCCTCTCCACTGCCCCCTGCCTTTTTCCTCTGGCTTCTGCCCCTCTCCTCTGGCCTCTCCTCTGGTCTCTCCTCTGGCCTCTCCTCTGGCCTCTCCTCTGACCTCTCCTCTGGCCTCTCCTCTGGCCTCTCCTCTGGCCTCTCCTCTGGCCTCTCCTCTGGCCTCTCCCCTGACCTCTCCTCTGACCTCTCCTCTGGCCTCTCCTCTGGCCTCTCCTCTGGTCTCTCCTCTGGCCTCTCCTCTGGCCTCTCCTCTGGCCTCTCCTCTGGCCTCTCCTCTGGCCTCTCCTCTGGTCTCTCCTCTGGTCTCTCCTCTGGCCTCTCCTCTGGCCTCTCCTCTGGCCTCTCCTCTGGCCTCTCCTCTGGCCTCTCCTCTGGTCTCTCCTCTGGCCTCTCCTCTGGCCTCTCCTCTGGCCTCTCCTCTGGCCTCTCCTCTGGCCTCTCCTCTGGCCTCTCCTCTGGCCTCTCCTCTGGCCTCTCCTCTGGCCTCTCCTCTGGCCTCTCCTCTGGCCTCTCCTCTGGCCTCTCCTCTGGTCTCTCCTCTGGTCTCTCCTCTGGCCTCTCCTCTGGCCTCTCCTCTGGCCTCTCCTCTGGCCTCTCCTCTGGCCTCTCCTCTGGCCTCTCCCCTGACCTCTCCTCTGACCTCTCCTCTGGCCTCTCCTCTGGCCTCTCCTCTGGCCTCTCCCCTGACCTCTCCTCTGACCTCTCCTCTGGCCTCTCCTCTGGCCTCTCCTCTGGCCTCTCCTCTGGTCTCTCCTCTGGCCTCTCCTCTGGCCTCTCCTCTGGCCTCTCCTCTGGCCTCTCCTCTGGCCTCTCCTCTGGCCTCTCCTCTGGCCTCTCCTCTGGCCTCTCCTCTGGCCTCTCCTCTGGCCTCTCCTCTGGCCTCTCCTCTGGTCTCTCCTCTGGTCTCTCCTCTGGTCTCTCCTCTGGCCTCTCCTCTGGCCTCTCCTCTGGCCTCTCCTCTGGCCTCTCCTCTGGCCTCTCCTCTGGCCTCTCCTCTGGCCTCTCCTCTGGTCTCTCCTCTGGCCTCTCCTCTGGCCTCTCCTCTGGCTTCTGACCTGCCACTGGCCGATGCTTTCCACTCGCACACCAAAGGGCCTCTGCAGCCCTGTGCACAGTTTGAAGGCATCTCCGCGGATCTCGATGATGTTGTTGATGAGCGCGCACATGGCAGCCAGAGGGAAAGCAGACGAAAAGAGAACCACGTAGCCGAACTGCACGAACATCTCCTGCATGTCCTGGAACGTGTCCTAGGGTAGAAGAGAGCAGTCAGGCGAGAACAGAGGTCTCACCAAACACACTGAACTTTGTAGTTTTGAAGATTTGGTTACAGGATCAGCATCTCAGCTCATTTTATCTGGAAGAGCTATTATTTTTCTATTTGAGTGTTGGACTTTGCATAATTAAAAATGTTGACACCAATATTTTTTTGTGCAAATTAATCTCAGCTACAGTATATATATATTTTGGTTGTTGGCCCGTTTGATCATGAACTATAGGTACTACCAGGACTATTGGTTCCTGGCCTTGGGTCATCCAATCCCTTTTCAAATCAAATCAAGAGACATTTAGAACAGGGAATGATATGTGAGTAATTGCGAAACATTGTAATCGTTTGACAGCATTGATATATATCTCACACAGGTGCACACGCACACAGACACATACACACACACACACACACACACACACACACACGCACAGACACACAACATCTGTATAAAAGTGACTACTGTCTCCATGCTGTTACCCCGTGTGTCTGCATGCAGCTCTCCATCTCAGCCTGAGTGAGCGCACAAGTGCCCTTGTCCTCTGGAGGCTCCATCCATGACCGCGGCTGGCTGCGGGACTCTCCGGGGCCGCTGTCCTGGGGCCGTGGGCTGCGTCTCTGCCTATGAGCCATAGTGATGGGATCGGGGGGGTTCTGGGGGGCCGAGGTCTCACAGGAGCTGGTGTCCTTCACGTCGTGGATGCCGTTGTCGTCCTCGTCGTCGCACAGGTCAAACATAGAGGCTCCGTCCAGGCCCTGCTCTACCATGGTGGGACTCCCCTCCTCCAGGAAACTGTGCTCCATGGACCGGGGGCAGCCGGGGGGTCTGCGCTCCGCCTGAGCAGAGAGATATGCAGTCAGGAGGTGGGACAGCAGGAGGGATCACAGTCAGGAGGTGGGACAGCAGGAGGGATCACAGTCAGAGGGCAGAAGAACCAGTCTGAGCTGTATAAAGTGACAGACTGTTTAATACAACACGTGTCATGTGTCCCAGCATAAAGAATCTTGTAAACAAAATAAAATCAGACCTTAACAGACCAGTATCCAATTCACAAATATGTGTGTTTGCTGGTTATGCAGCCGGTTAGGAGCTAATGCTGCTGTGGAAGTAGAATAAGTGCTGTGGTGAGAGGTGGGTCTGTTCCTTTGAGCTGCACCAGCTCAAAGTATAAGCTTCGAGATGTACTTCAAAGTAAAATACATTTTTGTTGACAATATATTTATCTGAAGCATTGCCTTGGAACACTAAATGAATATATTACAAGTAACGAGACACTAAGAATTAAATCGCAAATAAGTAGAAATAAATACATGAAAAGTAATAAAGTCAACAGAACATTTCAAATCTATGACATGGAGACGTCCCAAACAGATACCAGCACCAGTGGGGCACCAGTGGGGCATTACCTCCTCCATGAAGCCCCAGTGGGGCATTACCTCCTCCATGAAGCCCCAGTGGGGCATTACCTTCTCCATGAAGCTGACTTTGCGCAGCTTCAGGCCACAGTCCATGAGGCTGTCGTCCTCCGTCTCGCCCTCACTGAAGCGCCCACTGTCGGCCTCGTCCTTCTCTGCTCCGTCCTCCTCCTCCGGGACGCCACAGCCTCCGTTCAGACACTTCTTCTCCCTGACAGAACACTCACACGTCTTACACTTCTTCTCCCTGACAGAACACTCACAGTCTTACACTTCTCCCTGACAGAACACTCACACGTCTTACACTTCTTCTCCCTGACAGAACACTCACACGTCTTACACTTCTTCTCCCTGACAGAACACTCACACGTCTTACACTTCTTCTCCCTGACAGAACACTCACACGTCTTACACTTCTAATGAACCACGCAGCTTTACTAAACAAGAGTTCAAATGATTAATAGTCAACAATCATTTAGACAGAAGGAGAAGGGGAGCTGTCAGATTCACATGATCCTGATGTTTAGTGTAGATGTGACTCTGTGTGTGTGTTTCTACTCTGTCTGTGTGTGTGTTTCTACTCTGTCTGTGTGTGTGTTTCTACTCTGTCTGTGTGTGTGTTTCTACTCTGTCTGTGTGTGTGTTTCTACTCTGTCTGTGTGTGTGTTTCTACTCTTTCTGTGTGTGTGTTTCTACTCTGTCTGTGTGTGTGTTTCTACTGTGTCTGTGTGTGTGTTTCTACTCTGTCTGTGTGTGTGTTTCTACTCTGTCTGTGTGTGTGTTTCTACTCTGTCTGTGTGTGTGTTTCTACTCTGTGTGTGTGTTTCTACTCTGTGTGTGTGTTTCTACTCTCTGTGTGTGTGTTTCTACTCTGTCTGTGTGTGTGTTTCTACTCTGTCTGTGTGTGTGTTTCTACTCTGTCTGTGTGTGTGTTTCTACTCTGTCTGTGTGTGTGTTTCTACTCTGTCTGTGTGTGTGTTTCTACTCTGTCTGTGTGTGTGTGTGTGTGTTTCTACTCTGTCTGTGTGTGTGTTTCTACTCTGTCTGTGTGTGTGTTTCTACTCTGTCTGTGTGTGTGTTTCTACTCTGTCTGTGTGTGTGTTTCTACTCTTTCTGTGTGTGTGTTTCTACTCTGTCTGTGTGTGTGTTTCTACTCTGTCTGTGTGTGTGTTTCTACTCTGTGTGTGTGTTTCTACTCTGTGTGTGTGTTTCTACTCTCTCTGTGTGTGTGTGTTTCTACTCTGTCTGTGTGTGTGTTTCTACTCTGTCTGTGTGTGTGTTTCTACTCTGTCTGTGTGTGTGTTTCTACTCTGTCTGTGTGTGTGTTTCTACTCTTTCTGTGTGTGTGTTTCTACTCTGTCTGTGTGTGTGTTTCTACTCTGTCTGTGTGTGTGTTTCTACTCTGTCTGTGTGTGTGTTTCTACTCTTTCTGTGTGTGTGTTTCTACTCTGTCTGTGTGTGTGTTTCTACTCTGTCTGTGTGTGTCTGTGTGTGTGTGTTTCTACTCTGTCTCTGTGTGTGTCTGTGTGTGTGTGTTTCTACTCTGTCTCTGTGTGTGTGTGTGTGTGTGTGTCTGTGTGTGTGTGTTTCTACTCTGTCTCTGTGTCTGTGTGTGTGTGTGTGTGTGTCTGTGTGTGTGTGTTTCTACTCTGTCTCTGTGTCTGTGTGTGTGTGTTTCTACTCTGTCTCTGTGTGTGTGTGTGTGTGTGTGTGTGTCTGTGTGTGTGTGTTTCTACTCTGTCTCTGTGTGTGTGTGTCTGTGTGTGTGTGTTTCTACTCTGTCTCTGTGTCTGTGTGTGTGTGTGTGTGTGTTGGCCTGCGTACCTGCGGTCAGGCTGGCTCGCTCTGCTCACTCGGGGGGCCGGTGCATGGGGGTCTGTGGTGCTGAGCTGGGTCCTTCCCACTGCGAGGCGGCCGTACTTTGACAGGAGTGTGAGGAGCAGGTCCCACACAGAGCGTAGGTTCAGATCCCCCAGACGGTGGCGCTCGGACAGGTAAGGCTGCAACACCTCCTTCACGTTCTGAAGGAACTGCCTCATGATGAGCAGAGTGGCCAGCATCTGCAAAACAGCAGAGTCAGGGAGGCACTAGAAGAAGCGTTCACAGCCAGAATACTTCATTTCTACTTTCATATAAACATTTACTCCTGTGTGTTTCTGCACAGCTACCAGCAGAGGGCGCTCCACTCTAGGACAATATATCAAACATGACTTTCATCATCACAGTTTACGGCAGTTTCTTAATGATGATAAGATTCTTACAGAACAAATAAACACCAAACTAATTTCTTTGTTCAGCTTATTAAGCTTTAAAGTTTTAGTGCAGTAAATTATTAGATAAATATGTTCTTGTTGATGTAGAACAGTAAATATAAAAGGCCCATGAACTGAATAAAAGTTTGCTAAAGCATTTATTATCATAAAGATATTGAATTTGTGCTTGAAAATTATTATTCGATCCTATGAAACATTCACAAATTCCATCGTGCAACAAAACAGACAGTGTTGATGTGACTTGATGATGAAGTGATCTACTCTGCACCTGGACCTTTGACCCCACTAACCCCCCTCATGTCTTCCCCTTCCTTGCTTCTTTGAGAAACCTCTTCTGGTGTGATCAGTTGTGGAGGTTTGTGTTTCTTCTTGAAGAAACTGATGCTTGTTTTAAATCATGTACTTTTTATTTTAATTAGACCAAACCTTAGTTTCCACGGACACAGGCGCTGAGTGTCGAGGCCTAAAAGCATGGAGCTAATAACCTTTGGGATACGGTGGACCGGTGGGACAGGTTCACCCGGAGATGAACTGAGTCTGTGGTCGCTCTGCACGAGGGGACAGTTACACTAATCAATAAAGAAGTCTTTGAGAAAAGAAAAGGTTTTCTGAGTCAAATGAGGGAAAAAGCCAAAGGACGACTCAACATTTACTTAGAGCGTATTTTTTAATTATCAAGAGTAGGTTTGATCCAGTTATCAAACTTGTTTTTCACACCTGAGGCAGGCTGTTGCTGGGGCTGATCTAAACCTCTAGGGCTGAGTATGGATATGGAGCATAAACATATCTCAATATTTTCACAGGATTAATGACCTCAAAGAGTTCAAGTAGGAACTAAGTGCTTCTATACAAAAAGAATAATATCTGGAACTATAAAACAACACATTGCTAAATTTAAACTAAACGCAGTGAAACAAAATACTAATGCAACATTTAAGATAAAAAAAAACTCACTATATTCATTTAAAAAAGTTAATTATGAACGTTTTTCTTCTTCCCACTTTCAGGCTGATCATTTGTAAATACAGTTGATTTTATATTTATTTTTTACTTGTCTGCAACATTTTCCAAAGAAAATTCCTTGTTTTTACTGATTTCCTGTTACTTAGCATAAATAAATAAATAAATACATAGTAAATATAAAGACACATGATGAATCTATGTGTAAATACTATAATGATGTAATGATTAATGTAACTATTTCTGCTCATATGCACCCAGAGGCTACTCCACCTCTGCTGCTGTGACCCATCCTGCTCCACCCAGAAACTACTCCACCTCTGCTGCTGTGACCCATCCTGCTCCACCCAGAGACTACTCCACCTCTGCTGCTGTGACCCGTCCTGCTCCACCCAGAGACTACTCCACCTCTGCTGCTGTGACCCGTCCTGCTCCACCCAGAGGCTACTCCACCTCTGCTGCTGTGACCCGTCCTGCTCCACCCAGAGACTACTCCACCTCTGCTGCTGTGACCCGTCCTGCTCCACCCAGAGGCTACTCCACCTCTGCTGCTGTGACCCGTCCTGCTCCACCCAGAGACTACTCCACCTCTGCTGCTGTGACCCGTCCTGCTCCACCCAGAGACTACTCCACCTCTGCTGCTGTGACCCGTCCTGCTCCACCCAGAGGCTACTCCACCTCTGCTGCTGTGACCCGTCCTGCTCCACCCAGAGACTACTCCACCTCTGCTGCTGTGACCCGTCCTGCTCCACCCAGAGAATACTCCACCTCTGCTGCTGTGACCCGTCCTGCTCCACCCAGAGGCTACTCCACCTCTGCTGCTGTGACCCGTCCTGCTCCACCCAGAGGCTACTCCACCTCTGCTGCTGTGACCCGTCCTGCTCCACCCAGAGCCTACTCCACCTCTGCTGCTGTGACCCGTCCTGCTCCACCCAGAGCCTACTCCACCTCTGCTGCTGTGACCCGTCCTGCTCCACCCAGAGACTACTCCACCTCTGCTGCTGTGACCTGTCCTGCTCCACCCAGAGGCTACTCCACCTCTGCTGCTGTGACCTGTCCTGCTCCACCCAGAGACTACTCCACCTCTGCTGCTGTGACCTGTCCTGCTCCACCCAGAGGCTACTCCACCTCTGCTGCTGTGACCCGTCCTGCTCCACCCAGAGGCTACTCCACCTCTGCTGCCGTGACCCGTCCTGCTCCACCCAGAGGCTACTCCACCTCTGCTGCTGTGACCTGTCCTGCTCCACCCAGAGGCTACTCCACCTCTGCTGCTGTGACCTGTCCTGCTCCACCCAGAGACTACTCCACCTCTGCTGCTGTGACCTGTCCTGCTCCACCCAGAGGCTACTCCACCTCTGCTGCTGTGACCTGTCCTGCTCCACCCAGAGTATCTATCTATCCATTGACCTTTGTACTGAGCCAGACAGAAACTTACCTCTTTGAGACGCTCCATGTCTTTGAGGTAGAATCCGATGTAAAAAAGGCTGAGATAAGAATTCACAAACTGAAACTGTAAAAGAAGAACAAACGATAAACGTTCCTTCTGAAACACGGTGTAGGGATTTTACTGATTTGCAAAATAATACTCACAAAAACAATTTTGATGATGAGATTTTTCTCATAGGCACTCTGGAGTCGATAGTTTTCTGTGGATGCAAAGATGTGCCACAATGTTATCACTAATTCAATGTTTCTTTGACAGTTTCACTTCATTCAGACACTTTGAAGTCTCTATTGTACAGGAGTAACTTTAAACATTCTAATATTGTTCAATTTTAAAGCCAATTTACTTTTACTGTAATCCAATCTACAATGTGAAACAATACATTCAATCTTCAAGTGAGATGAATCGAGCCTAAATTTGTTATAATATTGATAATTGGCAACTTATGAAAACCCAAATGAATCATGGTCTATAAGCCAAAACCATCCAAATGACATGAAAATAACATTGGCCTATGTCACTGTAATTAGTCTTTATGATACATCGGTTTCACGTTTTGAGATGAATGACAGAAATAAATGGACTTTTGAACAATATTAAAATGTTCCCATTCAGAGTAATAATAAAACAAAACAAAAAACGTGCAGCGAAGAATTATGGATTGATCCTGAAGACAATGAGCGAGTACCGTTTACCGTCCAAATACATACATCTATAATACATCAGATCTTTTATGTATCTGTTGGCCTTGTCTCAGCAGTTTCCACACCTCAGAATCTGCACCTGTTTCTCACACTGCAATTGGTGCATGTTTTTTATGAGTCTTCATCTCAGGGTGACAGTGGAGTCATGGGTAAAAGCGTCTTACCCATGTCGTTCAGCCAGCAGGCTATTTTACGGTACACCTCGTCACACGCAGTCACAGTGATAGCCAGCATGATTTTGGGGATGAAGCGTGCCAGCCGAGGCATTTCTTTGATCCCCATCACAAACTCCTGAAACAACAGGGACATACAACTGTAAAAATAACTTGAACTTAAAATACAACTTATCACACTTCGGTCTACTACAGCCTGGTCCACACGGCAGGACAATGAGGCCGATTTAAGACCTGATTTACCCAAACTCATTTTTTCAACTCATAAACTGCATAAATATGTTTATTGTAGTGCTCTCTACATATCCTGGTCATTTTTTTGACATTTTAGTTCAAATTAGATAAAATATCACTTTTGAGCCAAAAAACGTCTGTGTGGCGCCCTCTGAACCTTTTTGGTGGTACTACATTTGAATTTGGTTCTGGCCTCTCCATTGACTCTGAAGTTCTCTATGACATCAGTTGTTTTGTGTGACGTCAGTCTGTCAGAGCCAGTGATGTGAACCCATTCAACTCTCACACACGCCCCAGCTGCAGTCTGGAGTATTCTGGCGCCATCTAGTGGATTAAAATTAAATTACATGAGTCATTCTGAGATTATTGAGTGTGATTAGGTTCAGGTGTGTAGCTTTACAATTATCTAAGTGTGTAAACAAGGGTGGAATGAGACTTTCTGGTCTGTTAACTATTGCTTTAAGCAGCAATGACAACTGTCTGTTTTTTTTAGTGAGACAAGTGAGCTGTCAATCACAGCCCAGACCACGCCCAACTCTAAGCCCCCCTTCTTGTCCCTTAGTCCTCCAGGCAACGCCCTTTTAAGAGAAAATTTTCAAATGTTCATGTGGGCGGAGTAAGGCTGTGCACAGGTGTTTAGTCGCTCTTTAAGAACGCTCAGATTTTTGTTAAAATAATCTGATGTATTTTCCGTGTGTGGTGTTTCAGACTGCGTCGCTCTGAAGGACTTCGGGGGATTTCCAACATGTTAGATTGTTTTGGCCCAATTTCTCTTCGTGTGTGGCGTCGGGGACAGACGAGCACGTTGCCATGACTGCGGCGTGTAGCCAATCAGGAGACGAGGTGACGAGGCGGCGAGGAAACACGGTAAAAAAACAGTCACAGCGTAAATATATATATAAATATATATATTTATATATATATTTAAATAGTCCGAGCTCGCGTTGTCTCCATTCCTTTGACCATCGCCTTTTCTATTGATTCTATTGACACTTTTTCTCTGTTAAAAACAAACAAACTATCGCCACTGCCTCCTCTTTGTCCTCCATGACTGTTTACTCTGAAGACAAGTGATTGTTGAGAACCTAAATTCACTTATAACTAATTTATGGCCCATATTTTTGTTATAAAAGACTGAAAACTGAACGGGATGTTATAGTGATACAAGAACATCATGTTATTGCTTTTAGACAGAAGTTCCTGACATTAGTGGTGTCCTCAAACGTCCTGGCCATCTTGTCACACAGAGTGATACGTTTTGCGGAGGCCAGTGTCTGTCCCACTGACCTGCAGCTCGAAGCAGATGAGCATCACCAGGAAGACAAAGCAGAGGCAGAGCAGGCAGACGGGCAGCGACACCAGCCAGTGGAACAGGTGCCGCCTCCACGCCGGGTAGTACAGCTCCTCACAGCCGGTCACAGGGCTGCAGCGCTTCACGCCCTAAACACACACCTTTAGATTGGACCGTTCACAAATAACACCATTGTTACATTATTTTACATTTGCTAACATTTGCTAGGTGAGGAGAAATAAGAATACAACTGTGATTTACATGAATTAAAGTATTAAGATGTTGCTTAATCATCTTTACAAAACTGTTTATTAGAGACGAGAGGTCTGAGCCTGAATGTAAGATTCATTTATATGGCTCCCTCCACAAACCAGGGTCACAAATCACATCCCAATTATGTAAACATACAGTTTAAAATGGATACACAACATTAAAATACCCTGAACTGTGGCCTCGGCTCCTCCAGCGACCCAGGAGGCGAGTCCAGAGTCCCCCACTTGTAGGCCAGCTCCGCCCCCCTTCTCTTCCACCGCTCCAAAAAGAGTGTCGCCCACACCACGTTAAAGAGCGCAAACACCACACAGCAGATGTCTCGGCTTGTCTAAAAACACAATGTTTTGTTAAACTCTCATATCTTCAGGTAAATGTTGGTGCAGTGAGTGGCTGTAAACAATGCCACCAACAGCCAGAGAGAAACGTGCGTGCTGCATTTACATAAGTATTTAACCTGACGTATGGCACCATAACATGCATCACACATGTAAACCTGCCGCACCTCTTGGTCTTGTGGGAGCGGGGCTTAATGGGGGGACCCAGAGAAAATCCCCCAACTATTTTGAAGGCAATACTTTTGTTTTTAAAAAGTAGAAAACAGCTCTGAACAAGGTACAATAATGTTTCCATGATGATAGGGTTAGGGTGAAGCCGCAGAGTTTAGGAAAGGCTGTTCTCCATCCATCCATCCATTTTCTACCCTTTAATCCATTTCTGGGTCAGGGGGGTGACAGTCAGAGATGCCACCCAAGTCTCATAGCACCAGCCCCTCACTGACCCTCTGCAGGTGGTGAGTCCACAGGAGGACGGCTGCTCTCTGAGTGTGAGCATAGCCTTGATCTTTCAGTGGGGGCTTTGGGCAAAGTGGGGTTAAGTGTCTTGCCCAAGGACACAACGACAGCAGTCATCAGTGGGAGTCTGTGGAGAAGGTGCAGAAGTGGGAATTGAACCCACGACCTTCAGGCCTGAAGGCCAGTGCTCTACCAACTGAGCTACTGTCGCAAGGCTGCGACTGTCGGAAAGGCTGTTCTTTCCTTTATAAACCATGTGGACAATAAACTTAGCAGTTCATTATGATCTTCTCTCTGGTCCTGGATGTGACCATCCTCATGGTGAAAAGCTGACACGGGTCCAAACAACTCAAGCTGAGCTTTCACACAAGTTAAGGTCCTTGGGAAGGACGTCCTCTGCTGGGGCCTCTGCTGGGGCCTCTGTCAGGAGCCGTGGTCACCATAGTGTGTTTTCTATAAATCCATACATTTGTGCAACTAACTCAGCACTGACCACAGCTCTGTCTTCTGTGGTCAGTGCTGATTGGTCAGCGTGCTCAGGTGTTGCTCTGGGCCTGTGAAAGTGCCACAGACTGTAGGACTGAGGACCAGAGGAGGCTGGAATGTGTCACTTCCATTGTGCGAACATACGCTGATGATCACAGACCCTGAAAGTGGTGGGGGGAGTGTTTGTGTCCGACATTCCTGATATTGTGGGTGGAGCTGTGTGATTTTGAGGACATGTGGAGTTACACGTCATCACATGGTGAAGGAGGATTGGGCTGGATGGGTCTCACCTGGTCTGACTCGGTGAGCATCCACAGCACAAAGCCGATGACCGCAGGGTACAACATGGACGTAGTATAGAAGCCCAGCCAGGCGAAGTACATGGCGATCTTTACACCAAAGTAGTCACAGATGTCATCTGCAGAGACAGGCACACATACACATTACAGGAGCGGACATATCACAAGAGTGTGTATGGACATTTGGATTATTGTGTACAGCATTGTTTAGGTGTGAGACCAAATTAAAATCAACCTATTTTTGTGCAGACAAAAATCCCAACCAAAGTCGTCTCAAAGAATTTAGCTTAATTGTTGATTTGCCAAAGCTGTGCAGGAGCCTGTCACCGACGGAAAGGCAGATGTCCTGAACATTTTTAGAGTCCAAGTCTGAACAGCCAGAGTCCACTTAGGCCCCAATTTTGCAAAAAAAAAAAAAGAGTACTATTTAAATACATTTCTGCTAAATCCGTCTGAAGTGTGAGTCGGAGGTGAGGAGCCTCAATGTAGCACCAATGATGAACGTCAAACGTTTTACACAAACTATTCCTCAGAGAGCGTTGACAGAGACTGCTGTAAATATAATCCCAGCTGACACCTCACAGCTCATGCAGTTACAGACACGATGATGAGTGACGTCACCCAGAGCTGGACTGTGTCCGTGCACGCCCTCGTCAGTGTTTGTGGAACGTTTTTATAAAGGCATCAGTGAAAACATTACGGTACATGTAGTTTGATGGACTGCACTAATAGACAAAGGATGAACATTTCACAGTTTCCAACAGTCGTGACTACTTTAAAAGAATGCGACTGTAGGATTCATACAAACTGTGAGCCAAAGTCTAACTTTCTCTGATCACTTCATTGGAGATATGCACATATACACACCACTTACAGCTTCACCAAAATAATCAGGTGGACGCTTCAATTCAAGTCCATTCAATTCATTTTTTCTTCTATAGCCCTAAATCACAGCAGTCTATATCGTTCTATAGTCTTTATATATAAAGACTATAGAACACACAGGTATCGGTTCATAGGAGTTTAAAACCAATGCATTATTATTATTAAAATCCCAAGTTTGAAATGGCCATCCAAAAGAAGATATAGAGGAGAATGCTTTCTCTACAGTGGAGAAGAGAAACAGAATTGGCTGGGTGTTCACACTGATAATAAATACAGTATTCAGCACTTCTCTTTTCACATCACCTGCTGCCGTTTGTCTAACTAAATAAATGAACTAATGTAGTGCGAGTGCGCTGGTTACCAAGGGGCTGCTTCTCACTCACGGCCTGCACCCAGGATTTCATGAGCTGACCCAGGATCCTCTGCTCGTGGAGGGGGAAGAGCTGCTGGATCACTCCTCTGGCACTCAGCTCTGGGACTGACAGGACACAGACAGGATCAGAACTTCACACATGGACACTCCTGAACCAATGTCAGTTGAACAAGTGTTCAGAGAACAGATGTTTTCTTCAAGGCTTCCTCTCCTTAAACACCACAAACTAAACTGTTTGGACTCTGCAACAAAGCCCCAAACATGAGACATTGAAAAACTGATGGTTCTGATGCTTCTACTGATACTGACGGTAGATCCCAGTGAGACGTGTTCGTAGACGTGTTTGTAGAGGTGTTTGTAGACGTGTTTGTAGACGTGTTTGTAGACGTGTTTGTAGACGTGTTTGTAGACGTGTTCGTGTTTGTAGACGTGTGTGTAGACGTGTGTGTAGACGTGTGTGTAGACGTGTGTGTAGACGTGTTTGTAGACGTGTTTGTAGACGTGTTCGTAGACGTGTTTGTAGACGTGTTCGTAGACGTGTTTGTAGACGTGTGTGTAGAGGTGTTTGTAGACGTGTTCGTAGACGTGTGTGTAGACTTGTGTGTAGACGTGTTTGTAGAGGTGTTTGTAGAGGTGTTTGTAGACGTGTTCGTAGACGTGTTTGTAGACGTGTTTGTAGACGTGTTCGTAGACGTGTTCGTAGACGTGTTCGTAGACGTGTTTGTAGACGTGTTCGTAGACGTGTTCGTAGACGTGTTCGTAGACGTGTGTGTAGACGTGTGTGTAGACGTGTGTGTAGACGCGTTTGTAGACGTGTTCGTAGACGTGTTTGTAGACGTGTTCGTAGACGTGTTTGTAGACGTGTTTGTAGAAGTGTTTGTAGACGTGTTTGTAGACGTGTTCGTAGACGTGTTTGTAGACGTGTGTGTAGACGTGTTTGTAGACGTGTTTGTAAATATGTTTGTAAATATGTTTGTAGACGTGTTCGTAGACGTGTTCGTAGACATGTTCGTAGACGTGTTTGTAGACGTGTTCGTAGACGTGTTCGTAGATGTGTTTGTAGACGTGTTTGTAGACGTGTTCGTAGACGTGTTCGTAGACGTGTTCGTAGACGTGTTCGTAGACGTGTTTGTAGACGTGTTTGTAGACGTGTTCGTAGACGTGTTTGTAGACGTGTTTGTACGCTGCACAGGGCGGAGCTGTCATGGTCTGAACTGGTTTTTCCTTCAGCGGGACAATGGAACTTGTCTAGTTGTTTCAGCGGCTGGTTTCAAATTATGTTTATATATAATGCTTACCTTGAATATTTTGTTTTTGAAACTAGAGCCGGGTGATCTAAGAGAAACATTTTGGATTCTTTAAATCCTTATTGAAATGTGACGTACAATTAAGGGCGTAACAAGTTCATTGGTTAATCACACCTAATCGATTATTGAGCTATGCGGAGCTATGTGCTAACACGCTAACCGCACGTGTTGAGTCAGTATGGTGCTGAGAAACAGAAACTTAACTCAACGAGGTCGTCGCTGAAGTTAGTATTAGCGCCACCAGCTGGACCGAGCGTTGAACTACAGCACAGTTGCTCTGGCACGGTTGAAAGAACAAGCATGAAAACCCGAGGAGGAGGCTTTTGTAACAGACTTTCTCTGTTATAACATTTGTATTTAGAGTAATCATTAGTTTTAACTTGTAAATAATGCATGTGTTTAATACGATTGATATATTTGCTGTGGCCCTCAGGTGCCATGAAGGACTGGGTCTCTGTAAGTGAAATTATTAGAAAACTGTTAATCTGCATTTTCACTGTTTACAACGGCAGGACCATCTGTTTACAGCTGGTTTAAAGGCTTATTTCCTGTTAAAATTATGCTCTTGGGGAAATTTAAATTAAATCTATTTCTTTGTCAGTTGTAGTTTGTTTTTAAATATAAAAAAATAATTGATAAAAATTGAAAATCTGAGATGCTTTTTTTTGCCATATCGTCCAGCCGTACATGAAATAGTTGCCAACTAAATTAGTGAATAATTGTTTCATTACATTGCATTGAGGGTTTACGCATGTTTAAAATGGAGATAGAGAACAGATGAGATTGCAACTGTTAGCTACTTTAAATAATACATACATGTTTCCGTTTTACTTGTTAGTGAGATTAGTCCAAAAGTTAAACCTGTCACTCACTGATGGGCTGTCCCTCCAGGAAGCTGATATTGTGAAGGGCTTCTCCATTTTTGGCACGTAAATTGTCCAGCCAGAACTTGATGATGTTCTGTCTCTCCTGCAGAAACAGAACCAGCCCAGTAGTGCCAAAGCGTCTTCTTGGGGCAGTAAATGGGTCTTACCTGTGAGGTGAAAAAGCACAGCTCACTCTCGATGTTCTCGTAGATGTAGTCTTCCTCACACGAAAAGCTCCGGCTTCCTCCTCCAAACTCCGGCTTCACACACTTCCTCAGGCCCACCTCCTCTGCCCCCCGCAACAAGCTGCACACAGGAGGAGACGCAGTGACATCATAACGTAGAGCCATGATGCATCACTGAGGTTTATTCTGAAACATTGTTGGTTACACACTTATAAAGACCTTCAGAATTAGGATAAAAGAGGACAGGGCTGTCATGGAGGGATGAAGGACTGCACTCTGAGTTATGTATTAAAGAAAGAGTTTAATGCATAATCAGAACACATTAAGTCAAATTCAGGCTTAGCGCTTCAGCCTGGGTCAGCTCCGGGGATGAGGATGGTAAGAATGACAAAGAATGAAGCTTTCTTATAGGATCAGAGGAGCCTCATGGGTCAAGTCACTGGATCGTAAACATGTCGTAGAGTGGGAAGAGTCAAACACCTCACGGAACTTTCTTTCAAGCAAATTCTGCCATTTCACACCAGAGACGTTACACCACTCACTGAAAGTCTATTTGTCAATTGTGATCCATTATTACTGACATAGAAAACAGCCGACTGTTCTTTTTGGCAAAATCTGTGAAATCTGTGAAATCTGTACAGAACTGAGAATAATCTGTAACACAGTCCACGGCCTCGTTAACGTCCTTCTATGAGCCCAAAAGAATATTCCCGTCAGTGGTCTCACGGTGGTCTCACGGTGGTCTCACGGTGGTCTCAGGGTGGTCTCACGGTGGTCTCACGGTGGTCTCACGGTGGTCTCACGGTGGTCTCACGGTGGTCTCAGGGTGGTCTCACGGTGGTCTCACGGTGGTCTCACGGTGGTCTCAGGGTGGTCTCACGGTGGTCTCAGGGTGGTCTCACAGTGGTCT